CAACTCTACAGTAATAAAAGAAAAGCAGCGATGGGTTTGTTTACATTGTGTTGAGGGGGCAGACAGTTAACAGGTCGTCATTTAGAATAGGTAAATGATTGCTGGGAACTGCAAATGTGTGAAATAATTATGCTGAAAGTGTTGATAGCTAGGTGGACCGAATTTTTTAGGTTATGTGAATGATGCACCATTAAAAAGTTACTATAAATCCTTGCAAAAATGTTTTTTGACAGTTCGTTTCCAATTAAAAATTATAACAAACAACCACTCTCTTGATCATTATGAATATTGATTAGATGTTTATTACAGTAAAGGGAAGTAACTCAAAATTAAAGAACAGCGCTGGAATTTCTGAGTTTTGTTTCAATATTCGCATTTTCAGCCAAATTATATGCATGTCATCGGAAATAAGGTTTCAACAATGTGTTTTATGTATAAACCTTATGAAATAAATGGGTTTTAGAGAAAACGTATGGTAAAATATAATATAGGCCCATTTTATCAACTTTTTACATAGGAAATGCATTGAAAATTGTAAAAACATTGATCTGACAAAATCGTTAAAGGAAGGCTGGCTTGATGGGTAAAAAGGACCTGAATTGAACATGTTTGGTACCATTAAACCTGTTCAAAAAATCTTGAAAAATTCTATACGAAAACCAGAAACGTTGCCAATGTCCTTAAGATTTTAGATAGATTTTGACAATGTGTTCTTGTTCATCCTTGACCTCAGACAGACAACACAGTGACCTTGACCTTGGTACAGTACGTTTTATAGACAAGTATGGTTTTTTTACTAAGTGAAAATGAAAGTCTGGATTTTTTTCCTTTACTTTTTGTCAGTAAAAAATACAACAAATCTGAATTTATGTGTCATTATTTTGCCTGGCTCTCTTTTCTCTATAATTTGATGCTGTTCAAATGCTCCATTTGACTCTGTCTTCCAAATCTGACACATTTCTGCTCAATCTAGATCTATTTAAAGGGCATCAACAAAATTAACATTTTTAGACGTCAGTGGAGCCTACCAAAACTTTCTGAAACATATTCCTTTTAAATAAAGAATTCTATTATTTTATCATACATATATAATTCAATTGTTATCTTGTCATGTTTGCTTACATTTTCAACTAGAATACATAAGATGACATTAAAAGAAATAGCAACTGTGCCAGTTAAGCCCATTTAAATTGAAATTGATGAAATATTGAATGATTTTGCATCTATGCAAAGTTTTTTGGTCACATACATTTAGTTCTGCTTGGAAACATGGGCATTTGTAGCAACGAACAATAAAATACAGTGGTTAAAGAGTCTATATTAAACATTTACTGCTAATTCCACGTAAAAGACTGTAAATTATCAGTTTGTAGTGATCATAAATAACTAAAAATGGATTTTGTGCACATGCAGTAAATATGTGGTTGTAAAAAGGACCCATATCAAATAATATTGATGTCATCACACGCAGAAAACTACAGTGACCTCACACAGAAGTAAAAATTATACTGATGAATTGATATATGAGAAAAAGGACTGGAGAAAATGCAATGGACCAGACCAGCTAGGATTCGAACCCAGGCCCCTGAACTCTAAACAGGTGCTCCACCAAGCAATCTGGCCATTCAAACTGACAAAACGTTCCTCCCTCCTGAAAGTCTTTGGACAAATAACCCAGATTCTTTGGCTCCCAACAGGACTTTATACACCTACAAGTCCAAGCAGGGGCAGTCAACAGCATCAGGGGAGAAAATGCAATGCTCGAATGGACCACACACCATGCAAGTGTGGCGGTCAGCCTGGTTCGATCGTCGGTGGCCAGATAACTCAGTTGGTAGAGCACCTGACCTGTGATTCATGGGGCCGGGGTTCGAATCCCGGTCTGGTCCACTGCATTTTCTCCCCTCCCGTTACACAAGTATCAAACCCTGGCCACCTAAGACTCTTAATTCAATGGCCACCTAGAAATTAGAATCTATGAGAATTGAGCCTGTCTGATGGCAGTGATGACCATTAATATTTAAAAGCCCTTACTCCATTTGGATCTATGACAGTATGGAAAAGATTTTTTTTCTCTTTCAAAAATTTTAGACAAAAGCTCCACCAACCTGTTATTTATCAACAATGTTGAGGTAAATAACAACTTGATAAAAACACTTACACAACAATCAGAAACTATCACCTTCATTTGATAGAACAATTAAAATTACATTCACATAATAAACATAAAAGTACAGACATCTATGAGAAAATTAAAATAATCTTTAAATAATAAATACACTCTATGACATTTTCCAGGATTTCCTCTAACCGATTCATGCAAGAACCGACACGTTTTAGATCAGATTAAATAACATTTTAAGTACTCATAGAACCGACTTAGACTTTAAAGCTTTTTGGAATAATGATAATACTTGACAAAATGGTAAAAATGACCAGTTTATACTTATTCTCTAATTAGCTTTAAAAAGAAGAACCTTGATATTTCAACTCCAGAAAAAACACTACTTGCGCCAAAAGTAACACCTGCTTCTATTCACCGCCTGAGCGTTATGTACACTGTGTCAATTCTATGTGTACAATACCTTGTTGTCTGTATATTTACATCGTGTATCGGTCGGCATAAGATAAAAGATGTCTACAGTTCATTAATTAACTTCTTCTTCCCTCAGAGAGAGAGAGAGAGAGAGAGCGTTACTGACGTCTCCCGCTTCATACATGTATGAATTTATAAAAAGTATTGTGATTAATTTACACATTAACTCTAGGGGCGAAGCATAATTTTTACAAAGAGGTGGCAGTCAAAAAGTGTTAATTCGAAACAAATATGGCTATACTTCTTCGGGAAAAGTGGAGCTACAGTATGTGCAGGAAAAGAATGGAGGCGTACAAGGCGAGGACAATCCCCCGCTCTGAAAAAAGACATTTACACTAAAAGTTATATTTTTAAAAATTATATGGTTTAAATCATCTTTTAAACATTTAATTCTGTATTTCATTGTTTTAATAATTTATTTTTCACTCATGTTTTTAAGATACTTGGAAACAAAAAAAGAAAAACGCTTCACGGATGATTCGAACTCTCTCCATTGCGTAAAGTTTGGTGCAAAAAACATTACGACTGAATGAATGTCTGTCAGTGTGGGGGTTTTTTGAAGCATACATTTTTTCCAGAATTTTTCAATTTTCATACAGAATGGTTTCAGATTCCATTTTTTTGAAAAAGTTAAATTTTACATTTCCACTTCAGAGTTTCAAATCAATATTACATTATAGTAGCTTTTAAAAGTATAATACGTTTCTGTGAATTTTGAAAATTGAGAGACATTTTGTCTCAGATGGGCATTGTCCACGCCTTATACGCCCTCTTTTTTTATCGAAAATATCCTCATCTGCAAGTGAGGATTGGGCAACAACCGCATTTCGGGCATTCTCGGGGATTAAAAAAAACTTTTACACTTACATTCATCGTTGTTCATCATGGCAGTTTTCATGTAATGATGTAGTCCCATCATCTGAACAAGAAAATCACTGAGGTATACATAAACTCAGACGTTTATTTTGGAAAAAGTTTTAAAGCAAAACTTAATATAATTTGAAGTATAATATTTAAAGAAATTTTCGCAGAATTCTTTGTCTCTAATTATAACATTCTTGGATTTAAAAAGCTTCAGCAGTTTACGCTCAATAAATTTTAATTTTAAAATAGAATGAGCGTAAACTACCGAACTTTTTGGAATCCAAAAATTTTAGCGACCGATAATTCTTCGGGGAGATTTATATTATTTTTCATTTATAAACTGAGTGTAAACTACTGTAACCCGTTTTACCAAAGAACAAATTTAATTATACTGATAACTTTTTAATTTACATATATTAAAAATAGTTTTAATATTTTTAAAAGGAATGTAGTGAGATATTTTTACGCTAGCAATCAGTTTTAAACAGAATCATTATTTTTGCAAAATTTTACAAACAACTTAAGTTTTTTTGTCTTAATCGTAAGTTCTTTTGTAAAATGGACCCCTGAAGTTTTTAAAATCAAAGAAGTTTGATTCTTCTGTGTCAAGTTAAATTCCTTTTCTTTTTAAACGTAAGACGACACGTTCCTCAAATATATATGTTTTGTATTTCTAACTATTTATGAAAAATTATGCATAAATTTTGTCATTCTCTTGTAATTTTTACAATGTTTTCAATATGTTTTTAGATATAAGTTCACCAAAAATTGTGAGATAGGCCATTCAGAATATTATCCATAAAGGTTATATAAGAAATATCATCCTGTGGTATCTTGTCCAAATGTCTGGTAAGGTACCCTAATTTTTTGTGAGGAATCTTGCTGAAGTACCTAGACTTCAAGAACAAATTCTTGAGGAAAATTAAATATTTTTGAGGAACGTGTCGTCTGACCTTTAATAAGAAACATAATGTAACAATGAAAAAATTAGGCGAAAAGAATTTAAATAAAAATGAAACAATAAAAATGAAAAATTATACATTACAAATGAAAAAGCAAATGCATCAAATATTGCAACGGTTGACATGAAGACATATGGTATCGATACATTTTGGTAGGCCAATATTTTCTTTTGGGAGGAGGGGGTCTAGCATTAAAAATAATGGTTTTTAACAAATAATGATTAGAGAGACGGCTAAAATAGGCTTTGCCTACTGCCCAATCCCATTTACTTTTATTGGTGAATAAAATTTTGTAAAGACAAGCGTCCGGTGAATAACATTCGGTCTTTTCCGCCTGGATTCGACTTGACGGAAAAGGCCGAACAATGTTCCGATTGATAAGTTACGTCACGATTTCATGATTCATGACGTCATATATATGGTTGCTCATAAAAATCATAATGTGCAAGTGCGAACTACAAGAAAGAGGAAGACGTATACTTGGATTATTTCTATGCTTACTCGACGGTATATTGGCACTTTCTGGTGCCGTTGTCGGAGCATTAGGTCTTTATTTGAATTACCATTTAGATTCTAAAATGCAGTTTCTAACTGACTATGACACAGGAACTGTGCCGTCATTTCTGATGATTGTTGGATTAGCTATGTTTATTTCTGGTTCTCTTTTTTCGAAAGCAGCATTTGATTGTGCTTATCCAGACTCTAGGGCAAGATTCCAGTCATTTTTAATATTCTTTGTTGCTGCCAAGTTTGTTTTGATTTGGGTGATATTCTCTGCTTCCATGATGTGTTTTGCCCACCGATCTGTCATTGAAGAGTCATTGAGCAATGGACTATTTTCTGTATTGAAGCTGTATAAAAAAGATTTTGAGCTGAAAAAGCTCATAGACAAATTGCAATTGGAATATAAGTGTTGTGGGAGCAACAATTTTGAAGACTGGTTCAAAGTTAGCTGGGTAAATGAAGACTTTCTGGATGTGGAAGACGAAGAAATCAAAAGGTATTAAACCTAATTGAAAATTTGAAACTGAAGTGAATTTAGGCCTAAACATGTATTAACCTAAGTGTCATCATTGTCAGGATTGCTTCACACCAGCAATGAGCTCACATATATGCTTCCTGGCATTAAAGAAATAAATGTACATCGTATTGTATTAAGTCTTTTTGATACCAATAGATCTACCGCTAAGTTAATTTCAGCCATATACATGTACCACCATATTTGGTCTTTGGGATTCAAGTTCCCTTCGAAATGGAAATAGGATGACCATAGATTTATATAGATCATGGATGATCTACCGTAGGATGGAGTAGCTAATGGAGCACTGATTTCAAATAAACTTTACACATGTATTTTGCATTCTATTCAGATCATATAATATATCGTGCCCCCCCCCCCCCACACACACACACACACCCTCTCAACACAAATGAAATTCACAAATCCCAGCATCACTGCATCATAAAATCAACTTTACTTATAATGATGAAGGTAAAAGATGCATTCTGTAATCATCACATAGCAATTTTTTTTGTCTTTTCAGTAAAATGGAATCTGGAATGTACATGGGTCATGATGTTCCCTTCAGCTGTTGCTTTATTTACACCTATAGACCATGCGTTCACACCAATGTCGACCCAGGGTCACGTAGTGAATACACCCATACATTGAATAAAAGAGGATGTGCTGGAACTCTCATGGACTTCTTTGAGTCTTCCATCTTGGAACCTGCAGGAGTTTTCATTTTGATGACATTTTTTATTGAAGTAAGATCATAAGCCTTATCTGTATTCAATTGAGAAGAATAAATTGGGTTTTTATAACAAAACTGTCATGTTTAAACAATGCTCCAATAAACAATGGAAGATTTTATCCCGTGGTGATTAAAATTAGAGGATATGTTACACACAAAAATATTCATTTGTATTAAAAAGTTTTAAAAATTAAATAAAATATAGACCACATGTATCGTTTCGGGGTTTTACATACATACAGAAGTATAAATAAACACCGATGCAGCAAGATTAATTAAGGTCAAACGATTATGCAGATATGTCTTTATAACATAACTGTCATGTGTTACATATTTATGTCAATGTCACCTGTTGAATGCTCAAAATATTAGTCAATAAACAAAAAATTTGATAAAAACATTCAAATTCAATCATTTTGCTAGTCCTTGTTCTGCTACCTTAAATTTCTATACACATATCCAAACTTCACTTCTATAGTGTACTCATAGATAAACTTTGAATTTATACTTAGCTGACTGTTCTGAGTTTTCCTATTTTTGCTTTCATATATATATTTCTTGTTTACAACCAAGATGCAATTTGAAAAGCTAGTACCTGATTGGTTAGAATCCCCAATTCAAATTTGAATTTTTCTTTTCAAACCATTATCATTAATATTCTATCTTTAAACATGTATGTAATATATTAATACAATAGCTGTATTTGTCTTTATATACTTTGGTTTTAGATCCTTTCCACATTCCTTGCCCGCTACCAGCAGACATGTATTGACGATGCCAACTTAATGGAACCAACAGGGCCTGGTACTGCCTGTTTATGTCCTAATATTGGAACTGGGGATGCCATGAAATATGTGAAAAGTAAGTTCACTTTATTTAAGATACATGTTCTTTTTACTGTGAAATTGCTAAATTTTGTGGGGTTTAATTTTTGCCATTTTCGTGGTATATATAAATTATTGAGACCCATATCTTAAATGAAATTTTGAAATTTAAAACAGTTTAATGTTCATTTTTTCAGTCATAAAATAAAATACCCATGCACCAATATTTTCCACCCAAACCATGAAAATTTGACCTCATAAAAATAAGCGATTTTACAGAATCCTGAGAATTTCAGTGTCAGTGGTATCAGAATTATGGTTCTATTTTATGAGTTGCTCTTGGTGAATAATTTTTATACATGTATAGTGAAACTCAAAGTCTGTTTAGAAAATTATTAGTACTTAGTAGATCTAACTCTGAATTAACATTATATAATGCATGAATTGACCATCCCTTTTTATTGAAAACTATAATCTAAGGTTCATCATATGACTTGGTGCAAGTTTTTGCTGCAGACATGATCGAATAGAATGCATGTAAAAATCCTTTGGCCAAAAAAAAAAATTAATTGTTTCTCAGGCCAAAAAATTCAAAAATCAATGCGGCAGGCAGGCTTTTTTTTTTGTTTTTGAAGCAGGTTTTACACTTTTTCTAAGCCATTTGTTCCATAAAATGATAATATCTAATAATTCTTAATTTTTGTTCTCTTAAATTAGTTATAATATGTATTCAACTTTAAATAATATTATTCCAAACATCTATTTAAAAGTGAATTCATAAAATACTGTAAATATATAAGAAATATATTGTTTTTCTACTATAAAAAGGGGAATAACTCGATTTTCTTTTTCAACTTTGAAAAATAGAAAATTGAATTATTTCCCTTTTCAATATGTCAATAAAATTGATTAATGCGGCCGTTTTTTAACTGATGCGGCGGTGCCAGAGAAACTATTGGTTAATTTTTTTGGCCTTATAAGAATTGAATAAATTTTGTAAAATGGTCTTGACAACAATTGAATCAACTTAAGTTGATTCAATTGTTGTCAAGACCTTTGTAAATCATATGTTGATGAAAACTGGCCAACTAATTTACTTGTGTAACTTAGTTCTAGTATATTACTGGTACATGTATAATACATGTACATCATGGTGATTATAAATAACAAGTGGGGAACACCTTGGTGATTATTTCTATCACCTTTCCAATCTTGCATATCTTTCAGTTGTTCAGAGATTGTGAGTCGATGATAAAATTTGACTTTTAATAGATATTTTCATAGATAATTTAAAATTACAGACTGGCATTGCTTTAATATCAAATGAGATATTCGTACTATATAGTCCAAACTATTGATGAAGATTCAACTTAATTCATACGTAAGGGTGGATTTGATGAATCATACTGTACATCATCATGTGTTTCAATATTTTTTTGTCTCAAGTTTTACAAAGGAAAAAAATACATAGCTTGGTATATCTGTAGATTTGGTCAAAGTCAGGTGACTTTGAAGGCCCTAGTTATGTGTTGCCACATATACATGTATTTTCCATGAATCAGAACTGCCTATATGGAGTCAAAACTTTTTTTTTTTTATCTCAAATTAGTCTTTGGCATTCCTTGTTGGGGCTAAAAAAAATTATGTGTACTTAGTTCATTACTACATGCAGTGCTTTGATCTAAAAACAAATCAAAATGCATGCTTATCTTGTTAATTAACCAAAATAAAAACTTAAATTGCAACCTTTAATACAGCATAGAATTAGATTCTAAAAAAGCGGTAACTTTGATAGGCGATACAAAGATACCAACTCCAAAAGATGCAGAAAATTACCAAACTGGTGGAGGTCACAAGGAGAGTAAAACAGATGATGGTGGAGGTGGTGACTTTGGTGGTAACCGTTATGGTGGTGGTGGTGTTAGTGATGATAGTGGAGATGGTGATGATAGCGGAGATGATGATGGTGGTGGTGGACCTATTGATGATAGACAATCAGAAAGGAAAATCAAATCTGAAAAAATGGAAAAAGATAAAAAAGAGAAAGATGAAAAGAAAAAGAAGGAAGACAAAGCAAATGAAAAGAAAGCCAAAGGGGATGAAAAGAAAACTACAAAAGACAAAGAAGAAGCTATTAAAATAGATAAAAAAGATGAAAAAATGAAGAAAAAAGACATCAGTGATGATGATGAGGATGATGATGAGGATGATGGTGGTGGCAGTGATGATGGTGATTTTGGTGGTGGTGGTGGTGGTGAAGCTGGCAGTGGAGGTGGTGCTGATGAACAATCAGAGGGAAAAAACAAATCTGAAAAGAAAGAGAAAGATGAAAAGAAGAAAGATGATAAAGAAAAGAAAGCCAAAAAGGATGAGAAGAAAGATAAAAAGGATGAGAAGAAAGATAAGAAAGATGACAAAAAGGGCAAAAAAGATGACAAAAAAGGCAAAAAAGATGACAAAAAGGATGACAAAAGAAGCAAAAAAGATGACAAAAAGGATGATAAAAAAGGCAAAAAAGATGACAAAAAACCAAAGGAAGATGAAAAGAAAGCTAAAAAAGATGACAAAAAGGATGACAAAAAAATAAAAGATGAAAAGAAAGCCAAAAAAGAGGACAGCAAAAAGAAAAACAAAAGTGATGATAAGAAAATGAAAAAAGAGGACACTAAAAATAAAAAGGGAACATCAGAAGATAAATCAAAGATAACAAAGGACAAGTCACCAGATAAAGGAAAGGACAAATCACCTGATAAAGCTAAGAAGGAAAAAAGTAAATCTCCTGAGAGATCCCGCAAAGACAAATTTGATAAAGAAAAATCTAAATCTGATGGAAAAAATTCAAAGTCAGAAAAGTCTAAATCAGAAAAGTCAAAATCTAAGAGTAGATCCAAATCCAGTGAAAAGAAATCTCCAAAGACTAAATCAGATAAAAAGTCTAAATCACCAGATTCTAAATCTGGAAGTAAATCCAAATCCAAGAAAAGCACATCCACACCAAAAGCAAAATCACCAAAAGCAAAGTCAAAATCACCAAAAGCAAAACCAAAATCACCTAAAGCAAAATCAAAATCACCAAAGGCAAAATCAAAATCACCTAAAACAAAATCAAAGTCAAAGTCACCAAAACGTAAATCAAAAAGATAAAAATTGAAGCAAAAATCTCCAAAACATGAATCAAAATTCCAAGTCATCTCCAAGATTTACCAAAAGAAAGGCAGCTGATAGAAACTGACCAAAATTGATGATTGAGAGGACCCAAGATGGAACAAGAAATTCAGCCAGGATGAAATCTGCTAAAAAGGCAGAGGGAAAAATTAACCCTTGAGTGGGATGCCATTAAAATGTTGGGACTAATCCTATTTAATATCTTACAACTTTTCATATAATTTTCTTCCAAAAAAATGTGTCGTTTTATAAAGATTTCCAAAATTAAATTATTTTTTTATAATTGAGAATGTCACACCTAGATATACATGTACATATTACCAGTATTTATTAATGTAATTAAACCATCAGATGTTTGAAAATAAAACAACAAACTTGTATTTCTTGTTCCTGTTTTTTAGGAAGTGAATTAATTTAAAACCCACTAAAAAGGAAATTTTGGCTTCCTGTTCTAGTTTTATTCAACTTTGGCCCATTCACTCTTGTTGTCTTTGGTTTAATTTGATAGAAAATAAGTTACAACTGTGTTGGGCTAATTCAATAAGGAAGGAAATTGTTTCCCAATGTAATGGGGCAAAATATGGGGGGGGGGGGGATTTGGGGGGTTGGAGGGACTAGTATACCCAGGTATGTTTGTATCAATTTTAGCATTTGTGGACTATATAAAATTATACCGTAACTACTGTTATCCATAAATAATGCAATTTGCACCACTAATGGATGTTACATCATTGTTGGTTCACATGCTTTAAATTTTATATTGATACAATGATCAGTAATAGATTTTGTATGTTTATAGTGAATTTTATGCTCAGAATTGCATAGCTACCATAACCAAATTAAAATGTTTGCATATCTCAATAATGCAAATTTAAAATCCAGAATCAAAACTTTCGTAACAAATTTTAATTCTGAATTAGCTTAGCCAATACTATAATTGCCTGCATTTTGTAATAAATGGACCCTAAATATAGTAAGATGCTAAAAGATGGTAACTTTGATAGGCGATACAGAGATACCATTCTCAAAGGAAGTGGATAGTTACCAACTTGGTGGAGATGACCAGAAGAGTGAAACAGATGATGATGATGGTGGTGGTGGTGGTTATGGTAGTGATGGTGGCGGCAGGAGTTATGGTGGTGATGACAGTGATGATGGTGGTGGAGGAGGTGGTGGTGGTGGCGGTAATGATGATGGTGGTGGAGGCGGTGGTGGTGGTGGCGGTAATGATGATGGTGGAGGTGGTGGCAGTGGTGGTGATGATGGAGGAGGTGGTGGTGGTGGTGATGATGGTGGTGGTGGTGAAAAAGATAAAAAGGATAAAGATAAAGATAAGAAAGATAAAGATAAAAAAGATAAGAAAGACAAAGATAAGAAAGACAAAAAAGATAAAGATAAAAAGAAAGATAAAGAGAAGAAAGACAAAAAAGATAAAGATAAAAAGAAAGAAAAGGAAAAGAAAGACAAAAAAGATAAAAGTAAAGACAAAAAAGATGATAAGAAATCCAAAAAAGAAGACAGCAAAAAGAAGGACAAAAGTAGTGAAAAGAAAAAGGATGACACCAAAAATAAAAAGGACAAATCTTCTGATAAATCTAAGAGGGAAAAAAGCAAGTCTTCTGATAGATCCCGCAAAGACAAATTTGATAAAGAAAAATCTAAAGGGAAAAAATCTAAGTCCGAAAAGTCTAAATCTAAGAGCAAGTCCAAAGATAAATCTAAGTCTAAATCTAGAAGTAAGTCCAAAGATAAATCTAAGTCTAAATCTAGAAGTAATTCCAAAGATAAATCTAAGTCTAAATCAAGAAGTAAGTCCAAATCATCTAAGTCCAAGAAAAGCAAGTCTTCAGGGAAGAAAAGTAAATCCAAGTCACCCAAAGGCAAATCCAAGTCAAAATCAAAATCAAGATCAAAATCATCCAAAAGCAAATCAAAATCAAGATCAAAATCCAAGTCAAAGTCACCCAAACGTAAATCCAAGTCGCCCAAAAGAAAGTCGCCAAAGAGGAAGTCTCCAAAGAGAAAGTCACCGAAGAGAAAATCACCCAAGATGAAGTCACCGAGGAGAAAATCACCCAAGATGAAAGCGAGAAAGTCACCCAAGATGAAATCTCCCAAGATGAAGAAGACAGGATTTAAAAAGCCCAGAATGGGACGCCGTTGATATGAAGTGACTCTAAATGAAACAATGTAATTTTAACAGACATCTTTAACATTAAAGACAGACAATAGTGTGATAAGATTATTATCATTGATTATGTTGCAGCCATTTTTTTTTTTGGAGGGGGGTGGGGGTGAAAAAATGTTATGGATACATTTTTACTGTACATTTTTACTGGTATGTACAGTGTACATATATTTTTCTTTTAACAAAATGGTTCTATTATTTCCTGTATACATTTTATTAACCCCTGTTAGTTTTATCATATCAAATTACATAATTTTGCCCATTCTGTTTACATGTACTTATTTTAGCATTCATATACCTCAATTGTATCTTTCTTGGATCAGCCTCATTTTCAATACCCAAAAAAAATAAACAGATTTTACAAAAATGGTTTGCTAGATTTTCATTCTATTCAAAATGAATCCTGGAGTATTGTAAATGTAATTGCATTTGTGATAAAATATTTTCCTCTGAAATTTTTGCATTTATTATATTATGGTCAAGGTTAAAGTTTTTAAATTTAATATGTGATAACATAAATTATACATTGTATATCATCTAAATTTAATATGTTCATAAATTATACAAGGTAATATAAAATTAGTCAAGGGTGTATGATAAACAAATTAAAGGTAACCAGGGGATGACCTTGTCATAAGAAATACACATGTGAAATATTAAAGCCCTAGCACCAACTGCTCTGAAATTATGGCCAAGGTTGATTTTCTTCTAAAAATAGGTCAAACTCCAAGGTCAAAATTGTTGGTATTTTTTGAAAGGAAGGTCACAAGAAATACAACTGTTGAAAGATAAAGGTCCTAGTATAAACTGTTAGTTATGTCCAAGGTTTTTCAAAGGGGTCAGACTCAAGAGTCATGGTCAAAAATACTGACTTGTTTACCCAAGGAAAGGTCTTGTTATATAGAATAAATAGTTTTCCTAATTCATTTTATCTCAGAGTTATTCTCCTTTGCTGCCATCTTGTAGGGCAAAGTAGGAAATTTTCTTTTTTGAGCAACCAATTTAAACATGCATTTTGCAAGGTAAAAGATTTTACGGTCAAAAAGACATACAGACAGATGGACAGGGCAAAAATCTAACCCAGAATCTTCAATTACGGGGGCATAAAAAAAAAACAGAAACTTGTGGACAAGTAAAAAAAAAAAGTAACACCTTTACCAAACGTGGAATTTCATGAGTAGGTCTTTCATTCACTTCTTTGGCACTTCCTACAACTTTACAGGGGAAGCGGTTTCTAGGGGTGGGGGGATGGAGAGTCCAAGATCATTTTAGTTACTTTAACACGTACATTTATTAACTCCACAAATTCCAGGGAGACGGTGTCCAGCAGACCCCCTCCAACCTCTTTCTAAATCTGCACATGTAACTTAATACTCAAGTATCATGAAGAGTTGATGCAGTGTGCTTAATGTACTTGGTCAGTAAATACCAGTATGACACATGGGATGCTCACTCCCCCATGGCACCTGACCCCACCTCTAGTGTTTTGGAGGTCTGTGTTTGCTCCGCTCCTATTTTGTATTGGACTTTTGAGCTTGAATATTGTTGGTAAAATCGTTATCTCAACATATTTTATGATTACTTATGTTATTTATTAATACAGGAGAAGAAAAGTTTAAGGAGGAGGAAGAAGATTGATAATCAGCGAAGATCTGGCGATACAGATTTCTCTTTTGCTGGTTTTAGCATCACCATTACCTTGGATCCAAATCTTTCTGGATTTATTGGATTAAAGGAAAGACTGTTCAACACAATGAACAAACAGAAGAAAAAAAACTCCACAATGGATTCGCTAGTATTCCGTGACGAGACTGACGATGACAGGGAATTGCATTGATCTGTATAAAACTTGTGAGGAAAAATAAATCACTTATTCTTTAAAATGAGAAAGAGTTAAAATAAAATCAATGTTTAACAGCCTTTGTGCTTACCTGATGTTTCGTATTTTTTTTTTTTTTTTTTTTTGAAGAGTTCCTCTAAGTTGTAGAAAAAAAAACAAAAATAATAGAACACATTTTCTACAAAGAAAGGTATGAGCTAACAAACAGTAATAAAGCTAAAAATAATCCATAGAAAGTTGGAACTATACAAATTGAGAGCAGAGTTCAGCAAACACATCAGAGATGGAATCAGGTGCCATGGAGAAGTAAGCATTCCCTGTTGATCGGTCACATCCGGCTGTGTCAAAACTGTTCCTTGTCAAAATCTGGCAAACGGAATATCCGTATACATTTTAGTTAGTAAATAATAGACTAGTAACAATTAGTATGTATCATGTCAGTCTTTATTCGACTTAATGATATACATAGTACTGTATTGTATTTGCTGACAAAGTCATTGTATCGACCATAGAACTTAACGAAATGTTAATTTTAAACGAGACTGTAGATGTATAATAAAGGTTTCATCACCTTATTTGTCAATAGCTTGCTTCTTTAAATAAATTGCTCTTTGTATAGAATCAACTGGAAGACATAAATTCCATATGCTGGTGGTAGAGGTATGGTGCTTCATAAACAAGGGATAGAAAAATTGAAATCATCACGTTTATCATAAAGTTTCGTTGTACATATGGTTAACATTAACGTTTTTTTCGTGTATTTTTTTTTTCTTGCCTAAAATTCAGGTATCTTTTATTTCAAGTTCACTGGGATGTATATATCAAAGTCAACATATGAATGGTGGTATATAACTGTTTTAAATAATCATAATATGTCATTTTAATATTCAAAATTCGCGTTGAAGGTCACAATAAAGATTTTGAAACCGAGGCCCCGTTTCACGGTAGGCGTAATGGTCCTCAATGGCCCTGAGTGCCGAGTGAAGGTCAAAATTTGAAGTCCTTCACCGGTATATGGCGAAATATCTATATATATGAGTAAAAAAAAAGCTCTGACAGGACGTAGAACAACAATCAATCCTCTCATATTTAAGTTTTTGAATAAAGATCTTCTTCATATGAATGTCAGAATAGGTCTGCTAATAAGAAATTTATTTAGATCTATGAGCACATTGCATGATCTGCAATCAAAGGCACTTTTTGATCGAGAAGAGCTGCTATGAATTAAGGAGGGTTGTAAGAGATCCACAATATGAAATCGTTTTTTTTTTATAGAAGTTTCATGAAAATATTCTATTTAGTAGGAGTTACAATACTCTTTATCTCAAATATAAACAGGTATAAGATTTCATTAATTTAAGGTTCATAAACCCTCTATTTATTCATAAAATGTTTATGCTTTTCCGAAAGAAAAAAATATATAAGTAAAATACTGTCCTCTACAAAAATTTGAATTTCTCAATTAAAATTTGTAAATTTTGAAAAATTCAAATTTTTGTAGAGGATACGAACATATCAAACAAGAGGCCCATGGGCCACATCGCTCACCTGAGAAGCTTTGAACATTCTGTTCTTTACCAGATTTCCCCCTTGTAATACATATTGTGACCCCACCCTACCCAACTGATCATAATTTCAACAATTTGAAATCTACACTACCATAGGATGCTTTGATTCAACATTGTAAAAATTGATTCCCCATTGTGGACCCGTCCTACCCCCGGGGGTCATGATTAGAACAATTTAGAATCTACACTATCCCAGGATGCTTCCATATAAGTTTCAGCTTTTCTGGCCCAGTGGTTCTTGAGAAGAAGATTTTTCCTATATACTTTGATTCCCCATTGTGGCCCCGCCCAACCCTCAGGGATCATGATTTTAACAATTTAGAATCTACATTACCCCGGGATGCTTCCACATAAGTTTCAGCTTTTCTGGCTCTGTGGTTCTTGAGTAGAAGATTTTCAAAGATTTTTCCTATATATTGCAATGTAAAACTTTGATCCCCCATTATGGCCCCGCCCAACCCCCGGGGGTCATGACTTTAACAATTTAGAATCTACACTACCCCGGGATGCTTCCACATAAGTTTCAGCTTTTCTGGCCCAGTAGTTCTTGAGTAGAAGATTTTCAAAGATTTTCCCCATATATCTTTATGTAAAACTTTGATTCCCCATTGTGGCCCCACCCTATCCCGGGGGTCATGATTTGAATAATTTAGAATCTGCACTACCTAAGGATGCTTCCACATAAGTTTCAGCTTTTCTGGCCCAGTGGTTCTTGAGAAGAAGATTTTTAAAGATTTTTCCTATATATTTCTTTGTAAAACTTTGATTCCCCATTGTAGCCCCGCCCTATCCCCGGGGGTCATGATTTTTACAATTTAGAATTTGCACTACCTAAGGATGCTTCCACGTAAGTTTCAGCTTTTCTGGCCCAGTGGTTCTTGAGAGGAAGATTTTTAAAGATTTTTCCTATATATTTCTATGTAAAAATTTGATTCCCCATTGTGGCCCCGCCCTATCCCCGGGGGTCATGATTTTAACAATTTAGAATCTGCACTACCTAAGAATGCTTCCACATAAGTTTCAGCTTTTCTGGTCCAGTGGTTCTTGAGAAGAAGATTTTTTAATGACCCCACCCTATTTTTGTCTTTTCTTGATTATCTTACCTTGTGAGGAAACTTGGCCCTTTATTTTCACAATTTAAATTTCCCATCACCCAAGGATGCTTTGTACCAAGTGTGGTCAAAATTGGCCCAGTGGTTCTTGAGAAGAAGTCGAAAATGTGAAAAGTTTACAGACGGACAGACAGACGGACGGACGACGGACAAAATGTGATCAGAAAAGCTCACTTGAGCCTTCGGCTCAGGTGAGCTAAAAAATCTCAAATCCATTAAGAGTTATTCCTCTTACCAGAGTAAGAATTTATATTTGTTGCATTACTTAACCCGCATACAAAGGTTGTTTATTTTCCTGAGTTGCAAACATTTATTTCCGTTTTGAAAATAAAGTTTCGAGAAATTATATGTTTTGGAAAACATCTTTGTAATCTTTGTTCATTTGATTATTTTGCTCAAGAAACAATTTGATATTAAGTTTTAAAAAAGATAATTTCCAGTGTTAGATATGTACGTACATCTTTTGATCAGACATTTCTGGAGTTTGGACCCATCTTGCCCATTGTATTATCGCAAAATAAAATGTATTAAATGATTCTTCATGTGTCTGTGGGAGCATACAGTCAAAATAAAAGGAATTTTATCCAAAGAGAGTTTAATTCATAATAAAAAAAAAACTTCCTATACGAATACACACTTTCCAGATTCTGAATGATACCCTCAGCAAACAGCTTAAGTTGAAAGAGGTACGTTTTTTTTAATTTCGTATACAAAGGTGCATTTGCACTTTGTTTTCCTTCTTGTCAATAACAAAAATGCTGCATTCTGAATGCAGATCATTTAAAGGTTCTCTGTCAACAAATTTAAATTGTCAATTATTCAGCCTCATATCAACAGACCATGCTTTGACAACGGTTCCAAGTCAACGGAGATTGAACAGTTGGGAAAAAATACGAGAAATACAGATAGCATGTTCGTTTTTCCTCCAATTAATGTCCACGGGGGAATAAATTCTTGACTTAATTAAGGAAGTGACTACTGAATCAAAATTGTCTGTTACAGTTTCATGCCCGGATGAACTACACACTTTCCTGAGCACCAAGGGTAGGACTAGTATAAAATGGCTTTTTATTGTAAAGTTTAAATCTAGTCCCATGACCAATCATGGATTTGCTATTTTTTAGAAAATGATTGAGAAGAAGATTTTTAAAGAATTTTCCTCTATGTAAAACAAACAGCTTAAACTTGAGCTTCCATATAAATATGAAAGAGGTTTTTAAGAATTTTTTATATCTCTAAAAACCTTTTGGCCATTTTGGCCCCGCCCTATACAAAAACTTGGTGCATTTGCTTTGTCACTTTTTTTAAAGAATTTTCCTATATATTTCTATGTAAAACTGTCAATAACAAAAATGCTGCATTCTGAATGCAGATCATATATTTCTAAAGGTTCTCTGTCAACAAATTTAAATTGTCAATTATTCAGCCTCATATCAACAGACCATGCTTTGACACAATGTACTCTTATAGTACACGGAACGGTTCCAAGTCAACGGAGATTGAACAGTTAGGAAAAAATACGAGAACTACAGATAGCATGTTCGTTTTTCCTCCAATTAATGTCCACGGGGGAATAAATTCTTGACTTAATTAAGGAAGTGACTACTGAATCAAAATTGTCTGTTACAGTTTCATGCCCGGATGAACTAAAAACGTTTCCTTTGCGCGAATATCGACATCGAATTCACTTTGATACTTGATGAGCGAAAACATTCAATTGAGAAAATGTCTCCTTTCTTTTTAATTGTTTTATTTTGTTAATTAAAATTATAGTGCCCAAGACATTGCACATTTTTATATTTCGTCGAACAACTCCGTGTTCTTGTCCCATCCAAAGAGGTTGCTTCGTACAAAAGGCGAGTCATGAATCTATACCATCACTCAAATTTAATCAATAAAATTTGAAACATCACAAATTCACTCTTGGTCTCAGAGAGAGAGAGAGAGAGAGAGAGAGGAGGGGGCAAATCAACCGATATATTAACTTATAATATTTAATCTTGTATACAGTAATTGGATAATCATTTTCATATCCATAGAAGAGCATCCATCAAATAATATAATAAACCATTTTCTTGTAATATAAAAATGCAAACACAGAACATGAAAAAAAGGGGGGGGGGTTATACACGCTCAATAAAATGAGCGAGGGTTAATCAACACGTCACTTTTCTGCACCCTCCTATTAAAATTTGGGCGTGCATCTTCAGCATGTTTCAAAAAATGTGTTTTTCTCTCATATAATTGCACATAAAGTACAATATTTAATTCTTTCAAAATTCTCTTTCATATGTAAATAAGTTGGCTGATTCTGAATTAAGTTCATTCAAACGATTGAAGTTTAAAAAGAATTTAACATAACTACCGGTATAAGGTGTAATAATGGCTAGCAATATTTACGTACTCAGTAATTTATGACAATATTAATAATAGTCTCTAAGAGGATTAATTCAAATGTAAAGAGGAATTTATCCGTAAAAGCCGAGTTTGAATCTATGCAAAATTCGAAAGCCTACACAAAAAAATTACGAAGAAAATTCGCCCTCTTTCTATATCGAGATGTGTTTGTGAAATACTGATGCCCCCGTGTGGCAGCTTATGGCTAGAGTTGATTTTTCATGGAACTAATTGAAACTATTCAATTTGAGGCAACTTCAAAATCCGAGTATACACAAGGTCAAACCCCCCCCCTTCACACACACACAACTTTTACGGGAAGTGAAGTGGAGAAAACCATTTAGGAACTAGGAAGAGAATAATAAATAACCCAAATTATTGTTCACTTATTTGCTTTATTAACAAGCATAAATACCAACATTTACAGGATTAAAAGATGTACTTTAGTCATGTTCTTCAGTTGGACATCATTTTACAAGCATTTTGAAGGATTTCTCTGCCATCTTTGTTTAACATTTGAAGCTAAATACACATGAATACTTTTCCTTTTTTTTCAAGTGACTCTGGTTTCTAAAGAAAACTTTTGATTTAAAATGTTAACTAATAACTGCTAAATAGAAAATGGAATTTGATGTGAAAAATTCACTTTGGGGTTTGGCTTACATGAGATTAAAATTAGAGACTTAAAATTTTCTCATTTTGATTGAAGCGATTTCACATAGAGTCTTACAGAATACAAATTTAAAGGCTACCTCAGATGGTTTTTTGACAAAAAGATTACACTAACAGATCATTGTACATGTACAGTATTTGCTTCATATAACTTACATAGTTATATAAACACTCAGTGTTAAAATTCTCCTCCTAAAATATTCTACAAATAATTCAAAATTTGAATTGTTCTCTTTTTTCTTCACTCATGATATTCCAGTTTGGAGAATGTACATCATGGGCTAGCCAATTAAAATCATCCACATCATGCCAATTGTTCTTAGATTTGTCAAGTCCAGCAGTGACAAAATGATCATCTAATTTGCTATAGCTTAGACTATATGGTGCAAATTCTAATTCTGAGCAATCTTCTATGATTGCTCTACTTGTAACATGCAGATAAAATTTGCACTTTGTTGTTGAATGTGTTCTAAGTTGCTGGCATGCTATCACAAAAGTGCAGTTTTTACAATCACTGATGAAAATCGAACTTGACACTGGCCCAGTAATAACAATACAATCAGTCAAATTCTTCATATGAACAGTCGAAGGAGCACCAAATAACTTGATGGTGCAAAAGCTGTTGTCAAATAAAGACACATCCTTTTTTTCCATGGCAGCCTCTGACATTTCTACACATTCTTTGGATTTCTTTTGAATCGTACAATCTGCAAGCTGTACATTTTGGTCCTCATTCTTTGAGGCATTAGTTTTCACTTCTTCTTCCTTTTTATTTTCATCTTGTTTGACAGTTTTCTTTTTCGAAGAAAAGGCAAACTTCTTCTTTGGAAAAAGTTTATCCCGTTTTTCTTGAATAAGTGTATGCAAATTACCGAGAGTTTCCTGGCTCTGTCTTACGTCATATGAAGGAAGAAACATCGTAGAATCGGCATGGAACTTTTGTAGACCTTGAATTCGCTCTGATATTCTGTCAAGTTCAGTTACCATTTCATTTTTAGGACGCGTGTCGACTTGTTCTAGAGCAAGTAGTATATCGGATTTCTCTTTGTTGAAATTCTCAATAAAATACTTGGTACCTTCAAGTGTTGAAATGTTATTTTCTTTCTCTTGTTTTCTCTTCTGTAACTCAGCAAGACGTTCCACTTCTCTTCTTTTTAATCTCTCTGTGACTTCAGTTTTCTTTTCTAGAAGGGTGTCCATGGTTGACAGGTTGTTTTCGCGTATCTGTGTTATCGCTTATATCAGTGAAAATATGTTAAAATTTCATGTATCAAAATGTTAAGAAAATGAATACATGTGAATATTTTCTAATTTTTATTTCTGTTTTTACAAATAAATCGATTGTCAAAGCTGAATATCTAATTTTAAAGGCGATCCTTGTTTTATTTGATACAAGCATGACAAGAAAATCTTACCGCGAGTTTCGGTAAAATGAGTACCAATGTACCACCAAGCCGGGATCGGACAATAAAAGCAGGCTTTAACCCTTCGTCCACAGTGCCTTACTATTCCAGGTGAAATTTACTTTGGGGTGAAGAGTATTGGCAGAAAGAAAGAAAAAATAAGAATTATGAAAATTTGTCGAAAATATTGTTTTTTCCCAGCGTCTCTGTTTTTTTTTTCTCAAGCTGGATCAAACAAATTTAACCATCTTTATGAAAACAAAATGCAGCCGATACATGCAAAGCCAAAAACAATCGCATCTGTATCTTTATCCGAATACTGTACGTTATAGAATCCTTATAAGGTTTTTTTAACGATGGGGGAGACTCAGAGGGCGCCAGTTCTTATTGGCATTGGTGTTTATAGGAGGGCGATCATAAAGCTGAACACGATCGTAAATAGGCATACGCCATTTTCGATACTCAGTATCATTATCTAAGATATATCAACACAAGGGTATACTCTTCAGATTCGTTACACCTGACTGCTTTATTGTCACGGGTATATTGGCGTGGAATGGCGACTCGTGTTCGTGCAGGTTATCTTGCATTACCTTTGTTTGCATTTTATTTCAATTACTTGTACATCTGTGTTTGTTTGTATACTTCACTGACCTGTACAACTATAATTGTAAGTTTCTTTGGTATTTTACTTTCCTGCATTAGACGAAGTATTACGTTATTATTGTCGCTACTGAGTGCTGTATATCTTACATCCATCATCTCTGGTGTCGACTGATTACACTGAACTAAGTCCTGCCCTTTATATAGGGTCTGCAGATATAGCGAGAATCTTAACAAAAATGGCGGACACGTTCCTTTTACGAATCGTGTTCAGCTTTAAATCCCTCTACAATTTTTGCACACTGCACACGACAGTATCTGACAGGTAGTTCCTGTGTATGCGAGTGCCTACGAAAAATGAGTGTAAACTTCTTCAAATCATGAAATCTGAGGATGAAAAAAAAATAAATGGGGAAAAATATGAAAAGATTCACACCACATATAACTTCAATGTCGGAATACCGAAGAGAATAACTTCTTTAACTCAAATCTTAAAGGAAAGAATACAATTAAAAATGGCAAGTATCCGGTAAAAAGAACTTTGCAAACTTGCTGAAACAGATAAATATTTCACAATAGAAAATCTAAAGGTAAAGCACTGAATATCCTGGATTATACGAAAGTCCTGAGAAATAATAATACGGATTTGAATATGAAAATAAATAAATAAATAAATATAACAAAAAGTTAGGAAAAAATAAAATGCTCTAGAATTGGAGATTTACTTTGCGAGTAATTGTGTTCAAAGCATGAAGAAAAAAAAAATTCAAAGCCACAGGAATAACATTGCAAGTAAAGGTGTCCTAAGCAAGAGGAATAAGATTGCAAGTAATAGTGAAAAGAGTAAGAGGAATATGTTACATTGACTAGTAATCAGAAATTAACATTGCAAATTATAACTATCAAAATAATCAGAAGGAGTAACACTACAAGTAATTATGTTCAAAGTAAGAGCAAAATTTACATATCAAGTTATATAGTGAACAGAGCAAGAATAGTAACATAACAGCAAGTGGTGATCAACGTTAGAATATTACACTTCAAGTAAAATAAATTACTATTAATGATCAAAGTAAACTAATTAAATAGCATGTAATACATCTAGTTATGAAAGGTCTTGTTACAATAAATACAAAGGTAAAGTATGAAAGCTCTGACACCGACTGTTTAAAAGTTATGACCAAGGCCAAATTTTAGTAAACTTTTGCAAAAGTGGGTCACATTCATATGTCAAGAGGTCAAATATGCAGGTACACAAAGAAAGGCTTGTCACAAGCAATGCACATGTGAAATAAGAAAACCATAGCTGTATATGCAAGTTATTCATACGCTGTACACAATTTCGTTGCGGATTGCCTTTATGTTTCAACGTATAAGGAACTTTCGTGAAAGTGCTTGAATTTTGCAAAACATACCTTTTAAGTATGTCCCAACTTCTGACTGTTTTATTTGGCATGCGTTGAAAATCTACAATCACAAAATTCAAACGCTCATTCAGTGCACAACAACTCACACTTCAGCGTGTTCTTGCATTGGTAAAAAAATATATCCCTAAACGCTTTCAACGTACACCAGCGTGCTTCCCTCATTGCGGCGGTAATTTTCATACGTCAACATACGTTGTAGTGTTTCAGCTTCTTTGATGCCTTTACGATCAAAGCGAAATACTTTTATTGGTTTTGATGATTTTAAATACCCTGCACCTTTAACGTGTTGCAGAGAGGAAAATATCTTAACTACCTTTAATTTACAAGTCATTGCGTTCGTTGCAACCTACTCATTTATAGGGGAGATGTTATTGATTCAGTTTGGTATTGCTATTGCACATGCACAAGAGTACATTAGACAGTAAAAAGATCGACCTACAAACCGAATGGAAAATCAGAATGATGAGGAAAAATCAAAACACGAGACATATGCGACAGAAAGTAACAAAGTAAGTCTGACGAATTCCAAAAAGGATTGTGAAACTGGATTACACGGATTAAACAACACGGATCTGGATAAAGCGGATTCGCCACGAAAGGCATCGCGTCAATTGAACAATCTACCCCAACGTTTACAGTCCCTTACAAATCTACCAAATGAAAAGGAAGAGAGGAGAAATTTGAAAAAGTTATCCTCCGAAGAAGTTGGACCAAGAAAAGATCACCCATCGTCAAAAAGAAGCACAACATTAAGGGACGGAATAGTGCATGACCGAAATGAAAAGGATGTATCAAAGACAAAGAATTCAACAAACACTTTCTTTTATTGCAGATTCATCGTAAAATTTCCTGTTATAGCTTTCTGTAAGTACAGTCTTTATTATTTATTACACACTTAGTAATAAATACAGGTTTTTTGCATATGCGATATGGCTGATCATTCCGTATCGTCACAATAGCCGTATCAACCCTGCAGGGCTGATATGGATTTGCGGGGCTGATATCCGTATAGCCCTGCAAATCCATATCAGCCCTGCAGGGCTGATACGGCTATTGTGACGTCAATATCACACCCTTAGTAAATTAAACCACAATAACAGTACTTGTACTCATACACAATTTTTGGTGGGTTCATATTCTCTTAATTTTAACTTTTTGAAAATAAGGTTAATCTTAATTTACAAATACATGTAATACTATAGAATATTTTCAAATTACGAATCAAGTGCATTGAAATAGAAATAGAAACAAACCCAAATCTTATGAGACATTAGACTATGTACATGTATGTAAGAAGTCCATGCATGATTATTTACTTATTTTCTTCTCAACTGTATTTTATTACTAAGTATGTAATAAATATAATAAAACATACCCTTTTCCACATCACATCCTGTATCAGCCCTCGACCAATATCAGCCCTCGGGCCTTCGGCCCTCTGGCTGATATTGGTGTCTCGGGCTGATACAGGATGTGATATGGAAAAGGGTATGTATTATTCTCTATATCATTTATTGAAACTAAATGCTGTTTTTTTAAAGGAACATATTTATTATTATTAAAAAGAAAAGAATCCAATGAGAACATGTGGCAGTACACAGAAGATAAGTCTATATAATATATATAATGAGAATATCATCGTGCTAAAATGTCACTTGTTAATGAAATCGTAAATGTCTCACTTTTTGAGAATAATTTCTTGTTTATTAAACAATATCTAACATTTAATTTTAAAATGTGAAGATACTGATTGTGAACAGTGATCATGCCCAACACTCCGTTTAAAACAAAACAACCCCTGAAAACAGGGTAGGATCAGGTGCCATTTACGAATAAGCATTCCTTGTCGAATAGCCTTTACAAACGGGAAAAAATCCGTAAACAACTTAGTGTGAAAATAAAGAGCTAACATAAACTATTGGTATGAAAGACACCAGTCGATCTAACGATTGATTGTATTTGCAAACAAACAAAGTCATTGTATGGATCACGAGACTCCGAAATGTTGATTTTCAATTAAACTGTTGAAAGCCTTGCATCATCAAGATAGTTGTCAATAACCTGCTCGTTTTTGCTATTGTAAGTAGAGCATGCTCTTGTTTATCGAATCAACCGGGAGATATAAACTATTAACTATTGTAATAGTGACTACAGTAACCATTCCTCGTTTGTCTCTATATATTATTCTATTTCTGTTACAGTGTTGTCCTCTACGATACACATATTTGCAATAGTCACTACAGTATCCCTGCATATCGCAGGGGAAAATGTGTTTCCCACGGATTTTAAGAGGTTACCCCTGGTTCTGTACGATGATAAAACTAGACAACAGGATCTGGCCTGGCGCAGTAGAGACTCCTATTCCTTGTTGATATCGAGGCCAGCACTTGAGTTAAACAATCACTATCCCACATGGTATAGAGGACGAGTTGGAGATACTTTGGAGGTCATCTTAGAAGTGGACAATGGCGATATTTTTAGCCAAGCCAACCTCAAACTTATCCAACACGTAGAAAATCTTATGTTCAATTTCAAGGATTATAAGTCCAGTTATTGTCAACTTGACGAGTTTGAGGAGTGTGTAAAACCTTGGTCGGTGATTCGCCTTTTTGATGGGACATACAACACCATTAGTGTGTACAACAATAATGCTTCAAAATTCAGTAATTTTACTTTGGAAACTTTTGAAAACTCAAAGGAAGTTTTGTGCAATGCAACTAAATCGGATGAAACAAAAGAGTTTGTTAAGACCATCTTTCCTAAAGGATATGATCCATGTCGACCCGGATGTGCGTCATCTGTTACCAGAATACTTCTAACAATGGGTTATCCACTTTGGAGAGGAAAGGATAATACTGTAATCTCAAATTTCTTGGTCGATGAAATGAAACCAAATCTTGAGCATATTCGCGACAATATTCTTGGGGACATAATGAATTTGTACTACACAAGCGAATGGATTTTTGATAATGACGTCACAGAACAGGCTTTAAAGGACATGCTTTTCACAATTGGGAGTTTTCTATTCATTTTTCTTGTTATGTGGATTCAAACCAAATCCTTTTTTATAACTTTTTTTGGAATATTCAGCATATTAACAAGCTTTTTACTGGCAAATTTAATGTATCGCTATGTGTTTAAATACGAATATTTTGGATTTTTTCACATCATTTCCATGTTTATCATTCTTGGGATCGGAGCAGACGATGTTTTTGTGTTTTACGATTCCTGGCGCCTCACCGCTGCTGGGGAGTATCCGACACTAGCTCATCGACTCACTGACTGCTACTACAGAGCTGCCAAGACCACCTTTATCACATCTGTGACTACAATGGCAGCTTTCTTAGTTAGTGGTACCTCTCCGCTCCTTCCCGTGGCATCCTTTGGCCTTTTTACAGGTGTTCTAGTGGGTGTCAACTATATTTGTGACTTGATATATTTCCCAACCGCTATTATTTTGTATTCAGAGAAAATCAGACCTCGAGCTAACAGGTTCTTATCATGGCTATTTGATAGAAAATGTTTCAAGTCCTTGAAATGTACATTTTGTAAACATGAAACAGACATGAATGAAACCCCATCAGAAATTGCAGGGTCTTCAACAACGTCTATATCTTTTGTGAGCTCTCCCCAGCTGGCCTTTGATCATAGTCAAACAAATTTAAATAACTTGCAGGAGTCAAAATGTTGTGATCATGATGTAATAAAGAAGCCCAACGACCAAGGGAAAGTAAACCATCATGATTTTGAAGACCGGATGTTAGTTGTTCGGTTTCTTCGTCATGGATTCTTGTCCTTTATGTCTCTAAAAGTAGTCCGTTTTCTTATTCCATTTGTAGTCGTTGGAGTTTCGTCTTTTTTCATATACAGTGCTACGACTTTGGAACCCGACAGTAAACAGGTATGTTGTTAAGAGGATTGGGTTAAATTCATGAATTCATGCATTTGAAATTGTTTCCTTGCATGTGCAATTCAAAATTGTTCATTTTTTTTTCAGGTAGAAATATTCCGATCCACACACAACCACGGAAAAGCTTGGAACCACCATCATTATACGTTTCAGAAGAATTTTGATGAAAACGAGTACACTAGTGTGTTCCTGGTATGGGGAATACTGGGGAAGGATATGAGTACTTGTAATCGCAAAAAATCTGATTTCTGTGGGGGGACAGTGGTATGGGACGACACTTTTGACCCCTCATCACCAGAGGCGCAGACGGCAATCCATGTAGTTATAGCAAATTCTGAGCAAGTACTCCCAAATTACTCATTTTCACATTTGAACAACAATTAAATATATATTTGTTTTGTTTTGGCTAGAATCTGTGTCAACGTTTGGAAAATGCAAGCGACTCAATAATAAATCAACTGAAAATAAGAAGAAATGCCATTACTAACAAACCAGAAGTCAGTTGTTTTCTAACAGCCATGGAAAGATTTCTTCGGGTATGACTATAAAAACCAAATTTTTAAAAGTATGTAGAATATACTTTTCAAAATTAGATATTGAAATCGTCACCAACTCAAAGGGTCCTGCTTTTAGGAAAAGAGCTTAGAATGAAAAACTTAGAAAGGACTTTGTTTTGGAGAAATACTTGCTGTGGCCTTCAGCTCGACATTTAGATATATCGACGACGTATTGTCAATTAACAAGGGTAATTTTCATTCTTATGTCGATACGATATATCCTGGTGAGCTTGAGATAATAGATATCACAGAGTCTGACACATCTGTTTCATATTTGGATATTTTACTTGAAAAAGGCGTTATAACGGTAATCTAACAACCAAGCTCTTTGATAAACGTGATGACTTATAACATTTTTATCGTCAACTTCCCTTACTTATGCAGCAATGTTCCTTCATAACCTGCATACGGAGTTTATATCTCTCAGTTGATTCAATACGCAAGAGCATCTTCGTTCTACGTATGAACAATTTCTAAAACGAGGTAAATTATTGAAAAACAAGTTAATGAAACAAGAATGTTAGCTGTTTCTTTTAAAGTCATCATTTCCTAAGTTCTATGGTCAACACAATGACCTTATCAGCAAATACAATTTATCATTGTGTCAAATGCTAACTGACGTTTTTCATACTAATTGTTGATCCATTATTTATACACTGAATTGACGACGTTTTTTTTTTTCGTTTTTCCCGATCATGGCAAGGGCCAAACGGCGGGTGTGAGCAGTCGACAGGGGATGTCTACTCCTCCATGGCACCTGATCCCACCTCTGATGTTCTGGAGGTCTGTGTATCCTATTTTGTATTGTTTTATGGACTTTTGATCTTGAATACTGTTCGTTATTTCCATATGTTTCAATTGATTAATTATTGACCTTTGACATAGACCTTTATCCGAAGACATTTTTTTGTGGGTGAGAATGAGGCAAATACAGGAAACAATCAAACAATGTAAGTTCATCAAAAGAATTTTGTAAAGAAGGATATGAAGATAAAGAACAGTATTCAGTATCAATGTCCATAAAACAATATAAAATAGGAGCAGAGCAAACACGGACCTCCGAAACATCAGAGGTGGGATCAGATGCCATGGAGGAGTGAGCATACCCTGCAGACCGGTCACACCTGCCGTGTGCTCCTTGTCATGATCGGGAAATAACGGAAAAAATCCGTCGTCAATTCAATGTATAAATAATGGACTAACAATTAGTATGAAAAACGTCAGTCAGCATTTGACTCTATGATAAATTGTATTTGCTGACAAGGTCGTTGTATCGACCATAGAACTTACGAAATGATGACTTTAAACGAGACTGCTGATATTCTTGTTTCATCAACTTCTTTGTCAATAATCTACCTCGTTTTAGAAATTGTTCATACGTAGAGCATGCTCTTGCGTATCGAATCAACTGATATCTGTACACTCCATATGCAGGTGATGAAGGTATATTGTTGCATAAGTAAGGGAAGTTGACGATAGAACAGTTAAAGTCATCACGTATATCATACAGCTTAATTGTTAGACTTTCATTAACGTCACTTTTCAAGTAAAATATCCAAGTATGAAACAGATGTGTCAGACTCTGTGGTATCTTTTATGTCAAATTCTCCAGGATATATCGTATCGACGTAGGAATGGAAATTACCATTGTTAATTGACAATACTAGTACGTAGATATATCTAAATGTTGAGTTGAAGGCCACAGCAAATGTTTTCTTCTTTTCACGCATAAGATTTTGCAAAAATTCTGCTTCATATGAATACAAAAATAGGTCTGCCAATAACGGAGCGCAATTGTACCCATGGGAATTCCAGTAGATTGTTGGAAGACCTGGTCTCCAAAAACCATATAGATATTGTCAATAAAAGAAATCTGCCATGATTTTGACCTATGATCTAGAAACTTGATTCATTCACAGTGATTCACTGCAAATCCATCCCTCACCACAAGTACATGAGGGAAGGACGAGTTATATTTGGCTAAAGATAAGATAATGTTCTATTGGCAAGGATTTTAGGAGTATGTTATTTAAACTTGACCTTTGGACCAAACTCATTCACCATACACCAACTACAAACAAGCACTTAATAGATGAAGTATGAGACCGATAGGACATAGGAAAAATATTGACAGGCTCATGAGCAAATTTCCCAGAGAGAAGTTTTAACCTTGAACTCTGATCAAGGAACTTGATTTATACACTCTTTATCCACGAGTACTCAGTGGAAGAAGTATGAATCAGACTGAAGAAAAGAATAAGAGAAAATATTGTATTGATTGATTGTACATATATATTGTTTAACGTTCCTCTCGAGAATTTTTCACTCATATGGAGACGCCACCACTTGCGGGTGGAGAGCTGCAAATTCCTGTCCTATACTCGGCACTGAGGGTTATTGAGCAGGAAGGGATCTTTCTCGTGCCAGCACCTACTGCGACACAGGATAACAGTTTATACGGTCTCATCTGAAGGACCGGTCTCCGCGTTCCACAGTGGGATTTGAACCCGCGACGTAAGGATTAGGCCTAACTCCTTACTTCGCGACTCTAGAGCAGACACTCTAACCATAGCGCCACGCGGGCAACATAAGAGAAAATATGCTAAGGACAAGGATTTTGTACAGAGATCTGATTTGACTTTGATCTTTCAGCTAGAAACTTGATTTAAGGTCACTTCATTTCTTTAATCCATGGTCTCTTTAGGAATTTGAGCCTGCTTGTGACATGTGGAAATGTATACACTGGAAAAGTATTTTATGGTGTTTTGTATAAAATTACGTGTGCTAATTTGTATTTCAGGAAGAAGTCCAAAAGTCGGAGGATGTTTATCCTTCTGATCTGAATGTTGATGTCCCCTTGGATGAGGGCAACATGACAAAATTCATGACTTCCAACCCTGATATATATGGTAGACAATTAACTCTTCCTAAGGACTTTAACAGATGGCTGGAAGTAAGCGTCCTAATACACTATAGTTTTTTTTGAGTATGGGTTTTAGTTATTTACTCAGTACTTTATATCGTAGGCAACGTGCTCGAATATTTAATATCCGTTGATTCAAACACCCAATTTTGCAGTTCCCTATACATATACATGTAGCTATCAAAATTGACATGAGTGGATCTAACTAGTAACTACATGCAGGTACCACTTGTCATATTGTAGATTGGAGTTGGTTATTGGATGACCAATAGGTATACAGGCAAAGTGCATCCGGACTATTTTATGTATGATCATCTTATTGGAGAAGAATATGTTATGGGAGAAACAAATATAGCAGAGAACATGCGTTTTTATGGTATGCCAAACGTTGCAATATTCGATCTTTTCTAATTGATTTGTATTGTATTTCATTTGCATACTAGTATAATGATGCGATATTTATTAAAGACTGACCTTAGCGCATTTAGTGTTGCTTTATTTATCATTTTAAAAAATAGCATTCGTATAGCTCAAAATGTATCTTTTTATTCAATAGGACTATATTACGGTTCGAAGCTGAGATATTTTGGAATTCAAGTCAATTTAACAGTAAAAGTACAAACCCTAGGCTACAGCGACGGAGGACCGCTCTATCATGCATGGGAACAGTTCATGATTAATGAAGTATGTTTTACACATTTATTGTTCGAAAAAAAATTCTCTTTTTTAAATAATTACTTGAATTGTTTGTCTTGAACAAAATATTTTCGACTTTTTAGAAGGCAAAAATGCCACCGTCTTTAAAGAATGGATTCCAGTGTACAAGAAATACATGGCACATGATTCGTGTTCAGGAGGTATGGAAAACTGACTCAGTCTGGTCCGTGTTTTACTTTAATAATAAATCACTTTTTAAAATCATGTAAAGCAAGATCCAGACAGCTCAATAATATGTTACGCAAAGTTATACTTGCAAATATCGTATTGCTATTTAATCTTCTCAGTGAGTGTGTGAGCAAGTTTTGTGAAATCGTAAACCCTTGAGGCTAAGTTGTGGGGTCATTGCTTTTATTGGAATAAAGAGAGATATAACAGTAAGGCCAAAATACCTCGGTGAGCAAAGTGGCCCATGAGCCTCTTGTTCATGATTTAACCTAGCTGCAGAACTTTCTGCTTTATCTGTCCGAATTTTCTCAAGCAGAGTTACAGTTCTGCAGCTAGATTTTACCACAAAAGTAATTGGACTGTTGAGCACAATGATTGGTTTATCATGATAAGTACAATGTACAAATAAGTTGCTATACATTGTAAAATATTATGTAGAATACATGTACTTATTATTAGTTTTTTTAATACCATAAGCCCCTCTTGTAGGTGCTCTCAGAGTCGGCATACTTTGGAATACTTATTGGTTTGTCCGTGGCTCTGCCTGTTCTAGTCCTCACGACCATGAACTTCATCATTGGGTTTTTAGCGTGGGTCGTTATTGCACTGGTGACGGTGTGCGTCTTGGGTTCTATACCTCTTCTGGGCTGGAAATTAGGGGTATGTATAAAATATTAAGCTTTTGATTTATGCTAGCCATCAGAATGTTTTATTCGAATCATTTCTTATAGCTAGCTATAGGTTTCAAATCCAGAAAGAATGTATGAATTTGTTTGTCTTCCAAAAAGATGTTCAAGTATTTATTTAGCATAATGGGTATTTACTCCGCACTTTTAAAAACTACTGAATGATAAAATTAAAAATTGGTCTAGTGGTTTTTATTCTCAGTTACGTAAATAAAATGCTGACAAATAATACAGTCTCATTTAAATATAGCTATTGCTCTTGAGCATATTATAAAGTTTTATTTATTTTCTTCTTTTTAAAAGAAAAAAAGAATCTATATGTATGTTTATGTTACTTGCCTTGCTTGTATGCAGTATTTTACCAAGACACTTTCAGGCAAGAATTTCATGATTTTATTATTGTTTTGTATATAGGTCCTTGAGTCCCTTAATCTGTGCATGGTAGTAGGCCTAGCTGTGGATTATGTCGTTCATTTGGCAGAAGCTTACAACGTGTCATCAAGCGTAACTCGACAGGACAAAACTCGAAACATGCTGGAAAAGATGGGACTCTCTGTCCTTTCTGGTGCCTTAACCACTTTCGGGGCGTCTGTGTTTATGTTGGGTGCCCATATTAAGTTTGTGTATGAATTCGGAATTTTTGTCATGATTACTGTATGTACTTCCTTGTTCTTCTCTTTGTTTGGCTTCACTTCCTTTCTGTTGATTTTTGGACCAGAGGGAAATACGGGTTCTGTTACGGCATTGTTCAAAAAGATTTTTCGTTGCAAACAAAAGGTCCAATTTACACCAAACGGGGGAAAACCTTTGTCGACGCCTTTACCCTCCGAGATTGATCCGCCCATGATTCCTAATGGTCTCAAATCTAATGTGCCAAAATTAGTTCAGCTTGGACTTCAGTCATATTTATGAATTTTATGTACATATTTATCTAAGATATACCACATTTTTATTATACTTCTTGAATATTGATCTTTATGAAGTATTTTTGTTGTTATTTATTACAGCTTATTTTTATCATTTTAATATTACCTTGTTTACATCTTGTTGCTGGAAAGCTGCATTTCATTTCAGGTGTTTTTGATAAAATGTTTTTCTAAAAATTAAATTGAGCAAGCAAACAACTTGACTATAAAAATATTAAGTGTCTGGGACAAAAATTGTAAGTCTTTTATTACTGATTATGATAAAGAATATATATATATGGCATTGTAAACAAAATCTCAGATCTAGATTACAAAAAAAAAACAACAAAACAGTGATTTGGCCATAAATTTGACGTGAAAAACATTTGTAGTACCAGAATAATCAAGTGATATGTGTGTGGGTCAGTAATGTTTTGATTTTTAAAGTTTTACTAATTCTGATGGATTTCATTTCCCAATACTCTTAGTACTTTGATTATGTAAATAACCCTCTTTACTTGATGGTATCACTTCTCGCAGGGAATTTTCTAATTTTTTTTTTCTCTGTGATAACTCTTTGAAAAGTTAGCGGAGTTGATTTCTTGATAATTCCACCGGAATGTAAATTAGGCAGGTCGATAGGTCAGGAGCTAAGGAAGCCTAATATGCATGCAAATCTCATTGGCATTTGTCTCTGTCTGACGCTAAAGAGGCCAAATATGCATGTAAATCTCGTGCTGCTGCTTTGTGTTTGACATCAGTGGGCGAGGACTATTGAAATTGTCGTGGAAGTCCTCGTGTAATTTAAATCGATTAGTCTACATTTTTAAAGTCTAAATCTACAATTTTATTTCACAATGAAATGTAAATATACGGAATCACTGTTTATTAGTATAGTATGCTAGGTACATCAACGATAGTGGGAAACATTGGATAATTTATGCATAACGGGTTTCGCCTGACTGAATTTGTAGTAGTATTAAATATGTACATGTACATGTATATTGAAGCATATAAATATACATAGCGGAAACTATATGCAAACATGAGTTCGCAGACATGTAGATATTCACGTTCGATATTGTCAAAATTTTACACACAATCCATGGTGTCTAATTTAGCCTTTATAAAACAGTTCTAATAGATGTAAACTAATAGGAATAAAAAGTCCGCCGAACAACCTGTATTATTAAGGAATCACTGTCTAGTTAGCATAGTATGCCAGGGCATCAGCAATAGTGGGAAACATGGGATAATTTGCATAACGGGCTTCGCCCGTTATGCATAAATTGTGAAATAAAATTGTAGATTTAGACTTTAAAAATGCAGACATAGATTTAAATTACACGAGGATTCCCATCCCAGTTTCAATAGGCCTAGTCCTCGCCCACTGACGTCAAACACAACGGCAGCCGCACGAGATTTTCATGCATATTTGGCCTTCTTAGCGTCAGACTCAGAGAGAGATGCGTACGAGATTTGCATGCATATTAGGCCTCCTTAGCTCCTGACCTACTGACCTGCCTAATTTACATTCCGGTAGAATTATCAAGAAATTAACTCTGCTAACTTTCAAAGAGTTATCACAGAGAAAAATTAGAAATGTTTTGAGGACATCAACAATAGTGGGAAACATGGGATAATTTTAACATAACGGGTTTCGCCCGAAATATTAAGGAATCATATGTCTAGTTAGTGTAGTATTTTGCTGTGTGGTTGAATAATTTCATCAACGATAATGGGAAACATGGGATAATTTGCATAACGGGCGAAGCCCGGTTATGCTTTTGATAAAATTTAAGTGAAATCCACGTACATTGGGATAAATACACCATGCGTTGATGTCCCTGGCATACTTTACTAACTAGACAGTGATTCCTTATATTTCCATTTCATTGTGAAATAAAATTGTAGATTTAGACTTTAAAAATGTAGACTAATAGATTTAAATTACGAGGACTTCCATGCCAATTTCAATAGTTCTCACCCTTAAATACAAATTAAACAGAGATTCCCTTATTAGTATTTATATTGCTTTTATAAGGCCTATTTTAGAATATGGAAATGTAGTATGGGATCATTGCACACAGGAACAGAGTAATCTATTGGAGAGTGTGCAAATAGAGGCTGGGCGTATCATTACTGGGTTAAGGCGCAATTCTTCGAAACAAAAATTGTATAATGAATTAGGATGGCAAACGCTTAGTGAAAGAAGAACTAAACATAAGCTTACACTTGTGTACAAAATACTTAATGATTATACACCTGAATATTTTCAAGAAATGGTCAATCAATGCCTACCTGTATCACATAATTACGCGTTACGCAATAATTCGTATCACTTACCAATCACTAGAACAGTTGCATACTACAATAGTTTTTTACCATCTACAATTAAATTATGGAATGATTTGCCAGATAGCTTAAAATCTGTAACAAGTGTAGCAAAGTTTAAACAGTGTATGCAAAATAAAAATCTTGAAGATAAAACAAAATCCAAATTATACAATTATGGACAAAGAAAATTAAATATACTCCACTGTCAGTTGAGAAACTTCTCTAGTAACCTTAATGCAGACTTGTTTAATCATAATTTAGTTGATTCACCTAAATGCTTAAAATGTGGATATTGTTTTGAAGACTCTGTTCATTTTTTCTTTCAATGCCCATGTTATGATTTTGCCAGGAACATTTTAATTACATACATAAGTGACCATGACATACCAAGAGATGTCAATATTGTATTATCAGGTTATGATTGTCTATCTCTTAGAGAAAATATGTTATTCTTTGACCAAGTTCATAATTTTATAAAAAACACTAAAAGATTTTAGTCTGAGCCTTCCTCTCCATATTCTTATGACTTAATTTTTTGTTTGTTTTTTCCATCATTTTTTTTTTCTTCTTTTCTTTTAAATTTATGTTATTGTTTTCTTTATGCATTTTTTTTCCTCAATTTTTCTTCAACCATGTATTCTTTATAATTCTCTTAATATTAATTTATAATACATGTTTTGTTGAACTTAAAATATGTACAGTAATTTAATTGTACCATGTGTACCTTGATCTCAAATGGAGAGAACTAATATAGGCCCTTGGCCTGCTGTTCAATCCATATTCATATTGTACTCTTTGTATATTATGAATAAAATACTTCTTAAACTAAACTATAGTTCTCGCCCACTGCCGTCAAACAGAAAGACAGCCGTACGAGATTTACATGCATATTTGGCCTCCTAGCTTAGCGTCAGACACAGAGACAGATGCGCACGAGATTTGCATGCGTATAAGGCCTCCTTAGCTCCTAACCTATCGACCTGCCTAATTTACATTCCGGCAGAATTATCAAGAAATAAACTCCCCTAACTTTCAAAGAGTTATCACAGAGATTTACATGCATATTTGGCCTCCTTAGCGTCAGACACAGAGACAGATGCGCACGAGATTTGCATGCGTATAAGGCCTCCTTAGCTCCTGACCTATCGACCTGCCTAATTTACATTCCGGCAGAATTATCAAGAAATAAACTCCCCTAACTTTCAAAGAGTTATCACAGAGAAAAAAAAATTAGAAATGGAAATATTTAAGGAATCACACTTTCCGTGTTGAGTGTTAATTGTCTTTCCAAAACGTGATTTGTTTTGAAGAACCCAACCTACAGAATTATTTTTGGTATTGGCCATGTTTTTAATTAATAAAAAATATGTGTCAGCTTTTTGACTTCTTCGTAAAAAAAATCAAGATCGCAAAATTTTAAGGAAGTAACTTTATCAGCATTTTCCTCAAAGGTTAAATAGGTTTTTTTTATCTCGATTATTTTTCACCACTTTGTTCTATTTTTGTATTTTTAGCTCACCTGAGCCGAAGACTCAAGTGAGCTTTTCTGATCACATTTTGTCCGTCGTCCGTCCGTCTGTCCGTAATTAAAACTGTTCCGTCTGTAAACTTTTCACATTTTCGACTTCTTCTCAAGAACCAATGAGCCAATTTTAACCAAACTTGGTACAAAGCATTCTTGGGTAAAGGGGAGTTTAAATTGTTAAAATGAAGGGCCAAGTCCCCTTACAAGGGGAGATAATCAAAAAAAGACAAAAATAGGGTGGGGTCACTAAAAAATCTTCTTCTCAAGAACCACTGAGCCAGGAAAGCTGAAACTTATGTGGAAGCATCCTTGGGTAGTGTAAATATTAAATTGTTAAAATCATGACCCCCGGGGGTAGGGCGGGGCCACAATAGGGAATCCAATTTTTACATAGAAATATATAGAAAAAATCTTTAAAAATCTTCTTCTCAAGAACCACTGGGCCAGGAAAGCTGAAACTTATGTGGAAGCATCTTTGGGTAGTGTAAATATTAAATTATTAAAATCATGACCCCCGGGGGTAGGGCGGGGCCACAATAGGGAATCCAAGTTTTACATAGAAATATATAGAACAAATCTTTAAAAATCTTCTTCTCAAGAACCACTGGGCCAGGAAAGCTGAAACTTATGTGGAAGCATCCTTGGGTAGTGTAAATATTAAATTGTTAAAATCATGACCCCCGGGGGTAGGGCGGGGCCACAATAGGGAATCCAAGTTTTACATAGAAATATATAGGAAAAATATTTAAAAATCTTCTTCTCAAGAACCACTAGCTGGGCCAGAAAAGCTGAAACTTATGTGGAAGCATCCAGGGGTTGTGTAAATTCTAAATTGTTAAAATCATGACCCCCGGGGGCAGGGCGGGGCCACAATAGGAAATCCAATTTTACATAGAAATATATAGAACAAATACTTAAAAAATCTTCTTCTCAAGAACCACTGAGCCTCAAAAGCTGAAACTTATATTGAAGCATCCTTGGGTAGTGTAGATACTAAATTGTTAAAATCAAGAACCCCGGGGGAAGGGCGGGGCCACAATAGGAAATCCAAGTTTTACATAGAAATATATAGAACAAATCTTTAAAAATCTTCTTCTCAAGAACCACTGGGCCAGGAAAGCTGAAACTTATGTGGAAGCATCCTTGGGTAGTGTAAATATTAAATTGTTAAAATCATGACCCCCGGGGGTAGGGCGGGGCCACAATAGGGAATCCAAGTTTTACATAGAAATATATAGAACAAATCTTTAAAAATCTTCTTCTCAAGAACCACTGGGCCAGGAAAGCTGAAACTTATGTGGAAGCATCCTTGGGTAGTGTAAATATTAAATTGTTAAAATCATGACCCCCGGGGGTAGGGCGGGGCCACAATAGGGAATCCAAGTGTTACATAGAAATATATAGAACAAATCTTTAAAAATCTTCTTCTCAAGAACCACTGGGCCAGGAAAGCTGAAACTTATGTGGAAGCATCCATGGGTAGTGTAAATATTAAATTGTTAAAATCATGACCCCCGGGGGTAGGGCGGGGCCACAATAGGGAATCCAAGTTTTACATAGAAATATATAGAAAAAATCTTTAAAAATCTTCTTCTCAAGAACCACTGAGCCAGGAAAGCTGAAACTTATGTGGAAGCATCCTTGGGTAGTGTAGATATTAAATTGTTAAAATCATGACCCCCGGGGGAAGGGCGGGGCTACAATAGGGAATCCAAGTGTTACATAGAAATATATAGAACAAATCTTTAAAAATCTTCTTCTCACGAACCACTGGGCCAGGAAAGCTGAAAATTATGTGGAAGCATCCTTGGGTAGTGTAGTTATTAAATTGTTAAAATCATGACCCCCGGGAGTAGGGCGGGGCCACAATAGGGAATCCAAGTTTTACATAGAAATATATAGAACAAATCTTTAAAAATCTTCTTCTCAAGAACCACTGGGCCAGGAAAGCTGAAACTTATGTGGAAGCATCCTTGGGTTAGTGTAGATTCTAAAGTTTTTAAATAAAAAAGGGAAGGGGGTTGTTGGGCATGATTGGTATAGCAAGAGGGGGAATCTGGTAAAGATCTGCATCACCCAAGTTACTCAGGTGAGCGATGTGGCCCATGGGCCTCTTGTTTTTTAACCTTCCGTATAATATCATTGTTACAACAATTTTACTACTATGTGGATGTGTGGAGTCTTGGCAATTATATAATTAAAACGGTTTGTTTTATTCTCCTTTAGAAAACTTGACACCTAATTTCTCTGAAATTTGAACTAAATCATTACACATTGATCTTTTATCATTTTATTGTTTATATTTCAAATGTATGAATTATTTATTATTGTATGAAATATTTTGATTTTGATTTTAAACATTATTTTCTATTCCAATTGTCAAGCAAAAGAAATACATTATTATACTAAAAATATATAAATATATCCTATGATTACATCTCTTATATTTCTTATATATTTCTTGATAATTCTGCCGGAATGTAAATTAGGCAGGTCGATAGGTTTTTTTGTTTTGAACATATTTTATTGACAAGCAAAAGGATAAGAAACAAGTTCTAACAACTTACTAGTTCTTCTCCTTAACATAAACACATAGTCATGCAAAAAGTAGAAAAAAAAAACTTGTACAAATAAGAGTCAATAATATATCTAGTTAAATCTACAAGATTCATTTATAAATTTGTGAACAGCAGCAAAAATGCCAATGTTTACTTCAATTGAAAGATTGAATCGATAGGTCAGGAGCTAAGGAGGCCTTATACGCATGCAAATCTCGAGCGCATCTGTCTCTGTGTCTGACGCTAAGGAGGCCAAATACTGAGTATGCATGTAGATTTCGTGCGGCTGCCTTTCTGTTTGACGGCAGTGGGCGAGGACTATTGAAATTGGCATGGAAGTCCTCGTAATTTAAATCTATTAGTCTACATTTTTAAAGTCTAAATCTACAATTTTATTTCACAATGAAATGGAAATATAAGGAATCACTGTCTAGTTAGTATAGTATGCCAGGGACATCAACGATAGTGGGAAACATGGGATAATTTATGCCCGTTATGCAAATTATCCCATGTTTCCCACTATCGTTGATGCCCTGGCATACTGTACTACACTAACTAGACAGTGATTCCTTAAATAACCCATACCCTACTATTATCGCATAGTGTTCTAAGGATTTATATAGCGTAAGCATATAATATGCCGAAATAGTGCAATGTTTTAATCATTGGGGGGGGGGGGGGGGGGGTTTACAGTTGTATTCAGTTACGAAATCACAAAACGAATGTCTTGATATTTTTCTAATTCTTGTAATTTTTAATCATATGTAAATATTTATATATTAATTGTTAACTTTAGAAAATTGTTGGTCAGTTTTCCATCCTTTTAGTTCTGTTACAAGACTGTGATTTTTTCCCGCTCATTTGAGAGTAATAAAAAGTTAATGATTTCTTTAAAGAAGATGATATATCTTCCAGGAAAAGGGAAAAACGTAATTCTAGTCATATAAACATAATAATGTCCTCTACAAAAATTTGAATTTTTCAATTAAAATTTGTATATGACAATTAATCAGCACATTTTAAATGTAAACAATCCCGATCAACACTCGGGCTGTGCTAGAATAAGACCCCACTAGAAAACGTGAACGACTTATTTCTTGCTTAAAGATCTCTGACGATCCTGCTTTCCTGACGATCCTGTCCAAAGATTCTGTCAGTCACGATGTGCGTTCTTCTCCAGCTATGAGTCTTATTAAACAGATTTAAGACAAACGCCGACCAGCGTTTTAACTTTTAATATGGAATTGACAAATTTTGATACAGGTCGGTGTACTCGGGACGGCTGTCCGATTCCGATTGATTATACAAAACAAATTCAACAGTATATATCTGTATATAAAAATTATGATGTGACATGCGCAAAAATTACATTTGGAGATAAATAGATAAAAAGTTTTGACACTTGAGTAAAACCTCAATATAATTGAGGGCTGGATTATCGCCCTTTTGATGTTAATTTGCCTAAAGATAATTTAGCAATATCAAACGATGACAGGTGTTAAAAACCAATTAGCTTGGATTAACTGAAATCTCCCATGATATAATTCAATAAAGATTAAGAGTCGTAAATTCAATATAGAAAATAATTTGAAAAGCTCAGAAAATTAGGAAGAGTTGTTTTAAGAAACATTAGCTTAATTTTAGAAACTAGAAAAATCTCTCATTACAGTAAAATTTCATCGTGATAATAATGTGGATTTATACTGAATACTCTGACCAACTATTTAATTTGAACAGTATGGAAAAATTAATTGAATTATGTAAATTTATTGGAACTATAATGGAGAGAGTCGGCTCTCTTGGTCTGTGACATTGTCATTTTTTTTTTCATTGTTTTTTCTTTTTCTTTGTCTCACGCATGCTTAATTGTTCATTGTAAATATTTAATGTAATATCCTCTCTATACTGTTTTGTACAGTTCATGAGAATAAAGTCTTGTCTTGTCTTGACAAGATGTAATCATAGGATATATTTATATATTTTTAGTATAATAATATATTTCTTTTGCTTGACAATTGGAATAGAAAATAAATATTTAAAATCAAAATCAAAATATTTCATACAATAATAAATAATTCATAAATTTGAAATATAAACAACAAAAGGATAAAAGATCAATGTGTAATGATTTAGTTCAAATTTCAGAGAAATTAGGTGTCACGTTTTCTAAAGGAGAACAAAACAGACCGTTTTAATTATATAATTGTCAAGACTCAATTAAATGTTACTTTTACGATCAAAGCGACAGGCATTTAATTAATGTGACGATTTTTAAATACCCTACATGTTTAAACGTGTAGCGAAGAGAAAAGAACTTTAAGCTAACCTATACCACAAAACACAGCGTCTATTGAAACCCAGGCATTTTAACGTATTGATATTGTGTTTAGCTTCTGTGTACATGTATAAGGGATTGAGTTATAGAAGACATTGAAAACATCTAATGGAAATTCAGAATGAAGATCAATCCGAACATTCAGCAAATGTGACAGAAAATGACCAGTTGACCAATTCCAGCAATGATTACGAAATCATCAGAAAACATTGTGAATTAAACAACAGAGATATTATTGACAAGACAGATTCGCCAAGAGCGGTCTTGGATCACGATGTTAAACTTCCCCCACGTTTAGAGCCCATCACAAAAGTACCGAAGAAAAAGAAAAAGAGGAGATATCTAAAGAAACTATCCTCCCAAGTAGGAGTAGGAGCTGATCCCCTCCCACTAGCAACACACGCTGCAGCAGCGGAGGGGACATTAGAGGACCAAAATGAAAAAGACGTTTCAGAGACGGAAAATTCTTCTAAAACATTCTTTTACTGTAGATTTATTGTGAAATTTCCTATACTAGCTTTTCGTAAGTACAATCTTTTTATCATTTATCGATAAATACAAAGCAAACACCGTCTTTGAATTCAATAGACATGTCTTTATTCAAAAAAGGGACTGGAAACAGAACAATGAAACAGATCACGAAGTTTAAAATCATAGTGTAAATATTATCTGATTGCTACGGCTTAATATTTAAAATAGATCTCTCACTTCTATTCATTATATTGATCATGAAAGAGAATAATGAAGATGAATGTAAGTTTCGCAATGTTATAAAATGGTCTATTTCTCGTTTACATTTCCTTATTCATTTTCTGTATTTAGAAGGGGGGGGGGGGCTTGCCTTTATCTCCTTTGGTAGTCAAAGGTAATAATGGAATGACTTCGGAACCACCCCTTCCTCCGATTGGAAACATGGGTACCAAATAAAATACTGTGGTATTTTATAATAAATAAATATTTTATATCAAGAGAATCTCTTAAAGAATGAGCAGTCGTATCTACATTTGCATATTTGTTTGCTTCACCACATAATTTAATAATTCTGCAAAATCGGAAGGGGGGGGGGGGTTCGACCCCCAGTCTTAGCACCCCCCCATTTTTTTTCTTTATATTTTAGATCTTACCATATTTCATCTACACTTTTCTGAATTAAAAATCACGTGCGCCTTGAAATCTGACACATTACCTTTCTATATACTTGTATTGATAGGGGTAATGGAATTTAACAGAGTATGTCCTATTATCTTTATAGATAATTCATATTTTTGAAATATATTAAAATGAAGCCTTAGTTTCATGAAAGTTTTATGTTGACTGAATGGAACTCCCCCTTTCACCCCCTGTCCCCAGCAAACAAATTACATACACGCCGTCTTTATTTTTCTCTTCTGAATCTACCGTAAAGCATTTTAAAAAAATATGATACCCCCCCTTTTCCATAACTTCAATACTTAACCGAATGACTTGGAATATAAAAAAAACCTCTATAATTGATTAATTGGTCCAATAACCAACCAACTGACACCTCATTCAGAAAGATCCCGCTACGGCGGCAGTCTGACACCAGAGGCGATTTAGTGAACACCAAATCATCAGTAGAGTAAACCAAATACTAGTAATGCATAGGCCTATATCAAATCCTTTATGACCAGAAACATTCACATCAACGATAAAAGGATTGAAAATCGTTTAGTAACATGTTCAATTTCGATGTGTCTTTTGATTTAGTTTCATATTTATTGTCATATTGTATGAATAAATTACAGTAAAGTAAATTTCAACCTATACGTGAATAATAATGTAGGTTCATATCATATACAGTCTTTTTAATTACCAATAAAAGTTGCAAAGCAATTTAAAACTGAAAATCTTATGTAAACAGACAATGTAAATTATGTTTAAGTTGAAATGGGAATCACACAGGCACTTTTAATGGTTCAAAATCTATATTCTTAGCGTAAACGTTTTGTATGCGTCGCAAATTTCTATTGTTTATTTCGTGATTATAAATGAAATGATTAGTTTATTTTTTGAAAATTAATTTTACAAGAATGTTCAAAATCATAGTAAGAAATTATTGGTTGTGACTTAGTTTGAATAAAACTAACTAGTACAGTAAATTTTGGCGATAATAGTAACACCAGACGTAAAACACTATTACTTTTTAATAATGTTTCCGTATACAAACTTTTCGAAACTTAACGAACCCTCGTAAAGAAGAAAAAAGGAAATAAAAAAAGAAAGAGAGGGTAAGAAAGAGGTGTGTGAGAGAAAATCTGTTGAGAGAGAGAGACATGGGGATAGGGAAAAACGAAAGGGAAACTTTTCCCTTTCTCTCTAACTGCCCTATTCCTATTCCTTGTCGACTCCCTCCTCATGGTTGGGGTAGGGAGAAGATGATTCTCTCATACTCCACTCTATCGAGGGGAGAGAGAGAGAGAGAGAGAGAGAGAGAGAGAGTGAGTGTGGGGAGAGAGAGGGGTATAGTGTGTGGGAGAGAGTGGGAGAGTGTGTGTGTGGAGAGAGAGTGGGGAGAGAGAGAGTAAGAGTGGAGAGAGTATGTAGAGGAAAGTGAGGGGAAGAGAGGATGGGAAAGGGAGGGTGTGTGGGGAGAGAGAGAGTGTGTGAGGAGAGAGTGTCAAGAGAGAGTGGGGGATGGAGAGATTGGGGGGAGAGTGAGAGTAGGGGGAGAGAGGGAGAGTGATTACAGAAAGTGTGGGGAAAGGGGAAGAGTGAGAGAGAGGGGAGAGAGAGTGAGGGGTAACATAATTTTTTTTTATAAAAACGTCTTCTCCAAACATCCCCGCCCCATTTTTTAATTATCAAGATGAATCTGACATCTGTTAGAGTTGCTGTGCACCCTTCCCCCTTTCGTCGAAAAAAAACTCCCTTCCCCCTTTCGTCGGAAAAAAAAAACTAAATCCGCGCCTATATGTAGTCTTCAAATCTGTTATAAAAAGTTTTTTTTAAAAATATTTTACGTGTACAGTAACAAAATATCACTCAAAACATATGCATACATTGATGACAGTTACATTTTTCTTACAATACTTTCTGTTTCTATTACAGTGTTGTCCTCTACGATACACATTTGTGCAATAGTGACTACAGTATCCCTGTTTGTTTCTGGGGATAATGTGTTCCCCACTGACTTCAAGAAGCTGCCCCTGGTACTGTATGATGACAGCACTAGGAAGCAGGACCTGGCCTGGCGCAGTAGAGACTCCTACTCCTTAAGGATAACTAGGCCGGTCTACGGGATATACTATCCCACGTGGGTCGGAGGACAAGTCGAGGACATCGTAGAGGTGATCCTACAAGTCGACGATGGGGATATATTCAGCCAATCCAACATCAAACTTATCCAACATATAGAAAATTTAATGTATAATTTTAAAGATTATAAGCACACATACTGTCAAAGAGACGAGTTTTTTGAGTGTATGAAACCTTGGTCGGTAATTCGCCTTTTTGATGGTACATACAACAGTATTAATTCAAAATTCAACAATTTTACCTTTGAAAACTCAAAGGAAGTTTTGTGCAATGCAACGAAATTGGATGAAACAAAGGAGTTTGTTGAGTTTATCTTTGCCAAAGGATATGATCCATGTCAACCCGGAAGTGTGTCATCTGTTACCAGAATACTTTTAACAATGGGTTATCCCCTCTGGGGTGGTAATAGTAAAAACAGAATTAATAATTTCCTAGTCAACGAAATGAAACCAAATATTGAGCATATTCGCGACAATATTCTTGGGGATAGAATGCAACTGTACTACACAAGCAAAAAGATTTTTGATAATGACGTCACACAGCAGGCTTTTGACGACATGCTATTCGCAATTGGGAGTTTTCTATTCATTTTTCTTGTAATGTGGATTCAGACCAAATCGTTTTTCATAACTTTTTTCGGAATATTCAGTATATTAACAAGCTTTTTACTTGCAAATTTAGTGTATCGCTATGTGTTTAAATACGAATATTTTGGATTTTTTCACATCATTTCCATGTTTATCATTCTTGGAATTGGAGCAGACGATGTTTTTGTGTTTTACGATTCCTGGCGCCTTACGGGCGATGGTAAATACCCAACACTTGCTCATCGACTTACCGACTGCTACTACAGAGCTGCCAAGACCACATTTATAACATCTGTGACTACAATGGCAGCTTTCTTAGTTAGTGGTACCTCTCCGCTCCTCCCCGTGGCATCCTTTGGTCTTTTTACGGGTGTTCTAGTGGGAGTGAACTATATATGTGACTTGATATATTTCCCAACCGCTATCATTTTGTATTCAGAAAAAATCAGACCTCGAACTAACAGATTCTATTCATGGTTATTTGATAGAAAATGTTTCAAGTCCTTGAAATGTCAAGTTTGCAACCAGAAAACAGATCTGAATGAAAAACAGTCAGGGACCGCAGGGTCTTCGACATCTTCCATTTCGTTTTTGTGCTCCCCCCGTAGGACAGCCAAAGAGGACACGACGCGTCTCTTCCCGGCTAAAATACCCCCTATTCATAGTCAAAAAAGTTTAGATAACTTGCAAGAGTCAACGTCAGAAGACAAGGAGCCCACAGAACAACGAAATAAAATTAGGAAAGAATTTGAGGAGCGGATGCTAATCGTTCGGTTCCTCCGTCATGGATTCTTTTCCTTTATGTCCCTCAGAGTAGTCCGTTTTGTGATTCCCATAATTTTCTTCGGGGTTTCATCTTTTTTCATATATAGTGCCACAACATTGGAACCCGACAGCAAACAGGTTTGTTTTCTTTCAACAAAAATTACAATACATATTCGAAGCCTTACTTGTTGTAAATTCACATTCGATACAAAAATACTTTTTTTCAGGTACAAATATTCCGATCCACACACAACCATGGAAGAGCTTCGTACCACCATTACTACACGTTTCAAAGGAATTTTGAGGGAGAGTACACAAGTGTATTCCTTGCATGGGGAATGCATGAGAAGGACACGAGTACATGCAGTCGTAAAAAGTCCGATTTCTGCAGCGGGACGGTGGTTTGGGACAACACATTTGACTCCTCTTCACCAGAGGCACAGACGGCAGTCTATGTAACTATACAACCTTTTCTGAAGCCTCGGCATGACTTTTTTAAAGTATTTTTTTTTCTTTACATTTGGTCGACATTTGACTACCTTTATTTCTTGGTTTTCAATAGAATCTGTGTCAACGTTTGGAAAATGCAAGCGATGCAGAAATCGATCAACTGAAAATAAGAAGAAATGCCATTACTAACAAACCAGAAGTCAGTTGCTATCTGACAGCCATGGAAAAATTTCTTCGGGTATGATTTTAAATGTATTTTACTTTTTAAAAAGTGTTCTTATTATTACTCAACATTTCTTTCAAGTGAAAAACTGTCTTCTACATAGGAAGATGTTCAAAAGTCTGGAGTTAACTCTTCTGATCTGAATGTTGATGTCCCACTGGATGAAGGCAACATGACAAAATTCATGACTTACAACCCGCGTATCTATGGTAAACAACTTAATCTTCCCGTGGATTATAACAGATGGCTGGAGGTAAGCATACAAATTAACCAGTTTTCCAACGGTCTTTATATGTTTGGACAATTTTCTCGCTAACAGGGGTTCGTTGGTTTCGATGCGGTGAACTGATTTGCGTGGATGGACAATCGCAACTTTTCGGTCCTTTCCGACAAGGTTTTCAGAGTTTGCCGGTGTAACGACGGGGTCACTTTTCGTCGTTACATCGGATAGGCCCGGAATGAATGCGATAGGCGGGGGAGATGTAATTAACGTTTGGAAACCTTGTTATATTGTAGATCGGACTTGGTTATTGGATTACCAACAGATATACAGGCAGACTACATGAGGACTACTTTCTGTACAATCATCTTCTTGGAGAGCAATATATCGTAGGAGAAACAAATATTGCCCTGAACACACATTTAGGTAAAGTTATTACAAGAATTTAAAAACAGAAACATTATATATTTAGGCTCATATGCAAGGAATGTAATGCATAGACGTTTGGTGAAAAAGAACAATTTCAAAAATCTACCTTCTAGCAAAATCATGCTAAAATGCAAACATATTCTAGGAAAAGATGCTCAAAAGAACTTTGTTCAAATTCGCCAAGGTTTTGTCTGGCGATTAAGCTTCAATACGTATGCGGAAAATATGGACTCAAAATATTTATTGCTGCAGACAAATGATTTGGTCGCTGCAATGGTTTCTCTGACTAATCGTCGCAAAACGCTTCTATTGCCAATTGGCTTTTCATTAAGCCCCGAATACATGCATTTGTGCAAGTTAATAAATCTATTTCTATAAAAGATTATTTTTATTATTCTGTTAATTTAGGACTGTATTATGGTACAAAGCTAAAGTATTTTGGAATTCAAGTCAACTTAACAGTGAGTGTTTACACCCTGGGATACAGCGAAGGTGGACCCCTCTATCGTGCATGGGAACAGTTTATGATCACAGAGGTCAGTAATTTAAATGAATTTAAATATTTAAATACAAATTAAAATAATTCCCTTCTCTTTGCATAATTATTTAAATGGATTTTGAAACAAAATTGTATTTTTTTTTCAAGAAAGCAAAAATGCCACCATCTTTACAAAATGGATTCCAGTGTACAAGAAATACGTGGCATTGGATACGTGTTCAAGAGGTATGGAAGATTGATTTTTCAAGGTTTTAATATTTATTTGTTTATGTTATTTCACATTAGAATGATGTAAGAAATGGTATTTTGCAAGAAGAGACTCATAAAATTGAATTGCAAGCATTATGCATCCATGCCTGTGATCATTGTGTTGTGAAGTATACAACTCAAAGATTATAAAAATTTAAATACCATTTCTTTGCACAAGAACATCCAAAGTTCAATAAAGTATTCAGATGAGGAACAGGTGTAATCATAATCTTTAAAATCAAATGGAAATAACGTTTACAAAATGTTTTGCAAAATGGTTAATACTGCATGAAACGGACTAGTGATGAAAGAATAATAAGCAAAATGATAAAAACAATAGAAATTTATGTAGACACAGACTAATAACTAACACAATAGTTTCTTTAACCCTTTTGTAGGTACTTTCAGATTCAGCATACCTTGGAATCATCATTGGTTTGTCTGTGGCTCTTCCTGTTTTGATCCTCACCACTATGAATTTTATCATAGGATTTCTAGCGTGGATGGTTATTGCTCTGGTGACGACGTGTGTTTTGGGGTCTATACCTCTGCTAGGCTGGAAATTAGGGGTATGTTATAATTTTATTAACATTAAAGATATTTATATCTGAATCTTCTCAAAGCAGTTAGGTTTTACCTCTATGTTCAGAGTAAATGTTCCTGCCATATTTGTATGTATAGAGATGATTCATCATCCAGAATATCATATTCTCATTCAATGAATGCTTTTCTAAGAATCCATCTCTAAGGCCTCCTGATAAAATATTGATTTCCTTTTTGTTTTGTTTAGGTCCTTGAGTCCCTCAACCTTTGTATGGTAGTAGGCCTAGCTGTGGATTACGTTGTCCATTTAGCAGAGGCTTACAACATGTCACCATGTATGAAGCGACAGGACAAAACTCGCAACATGTTGGAAAAGATGGGTCTTTCCGTCCTCTCTGGGGCCTTCACAACATTTGGGGCTTCTGTGTTTATGCTAGGTGCTCAAATTCAATTCATCTATCAATTCGGAATTTTTGTCATGATTACTGTATTCACATCCTTGTTCCTCTCTTTGTTTTGCTTCACTTCTTTCTTGTTGCTCCTGGGACCTGAGGGAGATTCAGGTTCAATTACAGCATTGGTAAAAAGAGTTTGTTGCCGCTTTCAAAGATGCCAATTAAAACCAAAGGATGGGAAACCGTCTTCAGCACCTCTTACCACTGAAGCCAATCCTCCCAAAATTCTGAATGATCTCAAAGATAAAGTGCCAAAATATTGAAGTTTGATGTTCTGTAACATTTGAAAAATATAATTTTTTTGGGGGGGGGGGGGGGGGGAATGGATTAGAACAGATATCTCCTCATTATTTTTATATTTTCTGTTGAACTTGATGAAGTATTTTTAGTGTTATTATATAATTTTATGTTTGTTTTTTATTTGTTCATCCTTGTTCAAGATTTGCTCTTGGTTTTCTTGCTCAACATCATGACCATTTGTCTTTCAAACTACTTGGTAATAAATCCTTAAAATGTTTTTTTTTATTTTATATACTGGCCATATTGCAAACAGCTTAATGTAATGTGTGACATATATACATTTGGGAGTTCTTTCTATACTCTCAAAGTCTTACAGAATATTTGGTTGACTACTTGCTTTTCAAGAATATGCTTCCATAACCACAAGATGAACTAAAATCATTCAGTTATAACTAAATGGTCTGGAAAAGTCACTGAGTCCTAATCAGTCTCATTTCAGTACACTTTCAGTCACCTTCCAGTCAAATAAATGGTGGAGTTTCATCCTGTGTACCTTTCCAAAGTACCATAAGAAATGATACTTTTTTACTGAAGAAAAAACAACACAGTCACACAAAAAATAGCTTTTATTGACATCTCATACAGAAAGCAAGAAACTGTCAAATATTTTTTTCTTCTATTTTTGAGGAAAAAAACATGAAATTAAGACAACAGATCTGATTTAGTAAAACTAGTTTTGATTCTAATCAATTAAAAAAAAAAGAAGAAAATTTACATTTAAAATAAATTTGAAAAAATATAAAAGAAACCTTTTTTGATATTATTCTCTCCAAATATAAGATTTGTCAATATCGTCAGTGATATGATTATGAACTAAAAAAAATGGATACAGCATATGAAATTCTTATCAATCAATGTAACTAACAAAAGATTAAAGCTATTTTTGTGACCTTTTGTCATATTTTTCAAAAACATTGAATATTCTCAAATTTTTAAAATAAAATAAAACCCCCACTTATAATTCAATTAGTTTCTCTTTTGCACAAAGCTTTCTTTTAATTTGATTATATGCCAAATTCGTTTCTATTTTGATTTTTAAATTTCTAAAATGAAAAATGTTTAATTGTTAAAATTTCAATTGGGAGAAAAATAAAGAACTTCAAGAAATCTGATAAAAACATGCTTGATATGAACAATGAAAGCTTGTAGAAAAAGCACACATACATGAAAGTAGCAACAATATGGCTACAGCAGTTCAACATCTACTCAACCTAATTTTGATAATACTACATTTTTGTTTAATCATCAGATGCCATGTTTTGCTGAACTGAAACTGTTTTGAAAAAAAGAGAATCTTTTTTTATTGATGATCAAATGAAAGTGACAAATTAAATATAGTTTTGTGGTACTGATTCCTTAAGTATGTTTGCATTATTCTTTTTTTTTATACTTGAAATTAAAGGTTGAATAGAAGAAGCATTGCACAACCATATACAATTATAACTCTATTATACAAACATCTTCATATAAAATAAAATATGGTATTTGCACAATAGCTATGGACAATGGAATGTTTTAATTAAATATTTTACTATGTTTCTATCTGAGACATAAGAGGAATGCTAAAAAATTATCTACTAAATTGAAATTGCTAAAATTGTAAATGAGCATGTTATTCCACATGAAAGAATAACTCTGAAACTGACAAAGCATAATGGGTCGATCAATATTATTTTTTTCCCCTTATGTTTCATTTTATTGGCCTTTAACTTAGTGATCTTAAACGCTATATATATTTTTTTCCTTATTACCTTAAAATGTAAAAATTTGTTAACTTTAAAACATAATGATTGAATATCCATCACATAGATGTTTTGACAGACAGATAGACCAATATATGATATTCTAAGGCACAATTCTTATACAGGGCCCATACAAAAAACAAACTTTTTGTTTATCAGTCTTTTTGCAATGTTCATTCATATGGAATGTTGCAAATTAAGTGAAAGAAAGTTGACATGTATTCAATTCTAGAAATTTTGGAATTGCATACATGCCAACTTTCTGATTAAAGTTGGATCCACCTGAATTTACTCTTCGATCCCACTTTCCCTAATTGGGAAAAACAAAATTGCTCTAACATCCTGTTTTGAAAAAATTCAACAAGATTGCAAGATAAAAATTTCCATAAACACAACACTAACATACACATTGGTTTTCTACCCCTTTTTTCAGTAGAAAGCCTGTAAAACAGGAATAATGTTTTAACAATCAAAGACATGATTACAAATGAAATTCCAGCTGCAAGGTATCTGTATAAAGTTTCCTTTAACAGTAACTATGCCACATTCTTAATAATGCTTCATTCAAAAAATCCATTAATTTGTAAAATACATTTAAAGATATTTAAACTTATATTCAATACATTTATGATTAATTATAATATACATATAAATTTGTACATAAAATGTTGCCCATGGACCAAAAATGTATGTTTTTAAAACTTTCCCCCAAAAGAAAATTTAAAATAATTTGAAATCTTGCAATTTGATGTATATTTTAAAATATTTTAATGACAAATATATAATTATTATGTAATTTTATCCAAAAAACAATTATGGAAACCCAAATATGGGGAAAAGTTTTATGCATATGAAACATCAATTTAATCCCTGAAACCAAATCAAACTAAATCATTTTTTTTCTTTAAATTTGAACTTAACAGTTTAACTTTGGTATCATAGAATTGGATACATTAAATTTCATGTAATCTTACTTTTTCTTTATGTATTTAAACCACAATATGATCCTTATATCACCATTTTTGGTGGCCCCACTAAATTCAAGATAATAAAAAATTTGACTGTATTGAACTTTTTAAAATTTCAAAAATGCAAATATTTTTTGCATCTAAATAATTTTTTTTTTAACATATCATTTATATTTCTTAAATATTGCAAAATATTTGAGAAGAGGTGCATTTTTTAGTACACCAGACATACATATTTCAAAGAGATCCAAAAAATTTTCATATGAAATGTATACTGGTCTAATAATAATTTTAACATTTAAAGTAAACAAGTAAAATTGTAAGTATGTAAGGTTTTATAATTATCCGTAGAGCAAAAAAGTTATGTTGTTTCTCTTCTTTCCCTTTGTTTTTTCTTAATTTTTCTTTGCCCCGAAAAAGGGACAGAGCATATCTCAAAAATTTGACATTTTGTATTGTTTTTTTGTTGGTCAAATATATGGCATTTATAGTGACCAACCCATACCCTCATTCATTTCATGCACAAAACAACATAATAGTAAATTGATGTACTGGACCAAATACAGACTGTAATTGAAATTTGTGACAATCAAAGAGCAATAAGTATACTTCACAATTCAGCTATGTTGGTCCAAGACACCAATCTGGTAAAGTAATTCAACTTTTTTTTTATAATAGTAATTCAGCATACATAAATATATTTATAATAAAAATACGTAAATAACAACAAAAATAAAAAGGAAAAAAAAAAAATCAGTTTCATTTACAAGTTTGCACTTGTAGACAATATGGAATCTAAAATATGTATTTAAAAAAATATTTTTATAAACTTCTTTACATTTTCAAAAAGAAAATGTTTCCATTTGACCTTTAAAAAAAATTGTAAAGTTAGTAAAATGTGTATTTCTTTCACCTCCCATCTGGGTGGTGAAAAGTCTAATTGCACAGTGACTGTTAGTAATTTTAAAAAAGTTCACATCAATTATATCTTCATTTTGGCAAACAATGAAAACATCATATTATGCAAAACCTTTCAGAAAAAAAATCTCTAAAACACATCAATCCCTTTCAGAATTGAAACATGGGATTGAGAGTTTCAGCTGTTTTCATCGCAAAAATTCATACACTAAAAAAAAAAGCTAACTTAAATTAACAATTAAAAGCATAAAAGTTGATATATAATGGATTATCAGTTCCAAAATAGGAACCTTGTCAAAAATGAAGTGATTTAAATGAAAAAATGTAACGATATCCCCTCCCCCTGACCACACTACATTTCACTCCATTGACAGCTTGTTCATATATTACATCTAAAACTAATCTTGTCCAAAGTCTGGACAATTGTCGAGTTCATATGTTAAGCTGTGAATAAAGCAATATGTAAGTGTTACTCAACGCAATCACCAGGATTTCAAGTGGTACATGTATATAAAGAACAGATTCTCGTCATACATGTATAAAAACAAATTTGAGTCAGTAATGTTCAGAACCATGCAGGCACGCTCTACTAAATTTCGAGGTTCTGAACCGTGACGACACGTTCTACTGAATTTCGAGGTCCAGTTTGTCGAAGAGCTGGTGGACTTCCTGGATCTCCATGTTGATCTTCATCTTCCTCATCAGCTGTTTGTGCCACATACTACAATGGCGGCATTCTGGCATTACACTGAACAGTTCCTGGATGCGCTTAATGGGGTCCACTCCTTGTGCTAAAAATATATCAAAGTCAATTTTAATTCACATACCAGTATTAATTTGCATATTTGGTCTTCCAGGGACAGTTTATGCTATGTAATTCAATATGGTAAAGGAGATTGCCCACATTTACCTTTTTTTACTGTTGAACATTAATTCAAAGAAAAGGTGCAAAAATATTTTGGTGTACAATATACAGTGCTAGGGATTAACAATTTTGATCAATTAATTATAAATATAATTTGTTATGTCCCTTAGATAATACTGTTAAGAATGACAAAGAATGAAATTAAAATCACTACACTGTTAGCCTGAATTCATTAAGCATTTACACCACAGCTATGATTTACTGTACAATCTTCTGTAAGAGTTACTGTTCTTGTCTACATGGCCTAGGACTACACATGTATTACTGTACACTGTATACTTACCAATCAACTGGGCCTGGAAAATGTGAATCATCTTCTGCCTCAGTGTCTCCAGAGTGGCAGGATCTCTTAAGTTTAACAGATCTAAATAAAAAATCATAAGTAATAACATTTTACATTCAAGCAATGGATACACTACAAATTGGTAAAGATTTTAGCATAAAAGAATGTCTTCATAACATGTTCTATTCCATGGGGCAGAACTGAAAAATATGACAAATTTCCTCCAATAGCTTATAACATTTACTTCTTTATACAGTATACTGGTGATATTTGATATTGTTTTCATTTCAACCACAGTGCATGACGTCATAGTTTTTTTTTTTTTTACAAGAAAGGTGTGATGTCAAATAAAGAGGATTCATATAAAATAGCAGAGCTTTTTGCCAAAAAACATAAAGAGGTTTACTTCTATTTCATACAGAAAATTGATCTACAAGTATAGTTGAGTTACCTGTGCTCAAGAACAAGATGATGGAGAGGAATGTTTCCTCCATTGGAGTCATGTTCAGCTGGCTGAGCTGTTCTCCACATTGGAGCAGACGTAACTTGAAGAAGTACATTGGGTTGTTGGGAGAAAGTGTCCAGTTCCAGAAATACTGGAATCGTTTGGACTCTTTGTCATAATAATTGTTGGCAGCCACAATGATTCCAATATGGAAGCAGTTCATCAAACATAGCTCAGTGGCATCTTCAGAGTTGATGTTTTCAAATCCTACACCAAAAGGAAATGAAACCATCTTCCATCAACTTCCATGTTTTGTTAATATTTGATTACTTGACAGAAATAAACATTGCATCAAATGGAAATTTTCTCAGAAAAAATACAAGGGGCCATAATTTGTATATACCTGGAACAGTTCTAATGAAGTTCATGAATGAGACGATATTTCTGATCACTCTTCTCTGCACATGGTTCCAGTGACTTTCCTCTTTTCCAAAAGCAGGCCACTGACTCTGAAATGAAAAATATACAAAATGTACTGAATACAATCAAACCTTGTTATAATCTCAAACCCATTATAATCCCATTAATGGGACCAAGAAAAAACTTTGAGATATTCAAGGATTCAAAATATCCATGGTAAAAATACTTATAGAATAAGGGGTAGGGACTCAAAATCACTAACATAACCATGATATTAGAGATATTGGTTTTCAAGGTTGACACATAAAAGACTTTCAAGTCACATGGTTGTTTCTAATTCTTACCTTCAGTAAGTCATCGTATGAATGCTTTTTGCTCTCATCACAGGAAGCCACAAATTTGGAGTACCCTGCTACCAGGTGGTTGGTGAAGGCGATCATGTCTTCTGATGGTGGACCCTGAGCTAACAGTCTCAGTGGCTCATTCCAATAGGCCTGAGATTTCATCATGCTGTAGTTCTCACACTGAAAGTCTTTCCCGTTTTCAGCATAAAACCCAGCATTTGCCATGTTTCCATATTGTAGCCCCATGGCATTGCAGGCTTTACGCTTCTGGCCGCAGCTGTTTGGGTAGAAAGCTTCGTTTGAGTCATCGCTGTTGTCATGGTAACCTCGAGGAGAGGATTCTGGGCTTGAGCAATACTCGGGTGCACCTCTTCTGTAGTTCTGCAATGTCTTCAAAATGACGTGTCTGTCAAAGTCCGTTCTAGAAAAAAATCCACTGGCATTGGCATCTTCTGAGTAGTTCTGTACATTATCATCACAATTCATGAACATTTGATTGATTTTCATCTGAGCTTTCATGTCAGCATAGGGAAGTTCTTGGCTGTGGTTATTATCCGCCATCATGCCTCCTGCTGGGGGTCCCTGAGCGTATGTGTTTTGGGGGTAGGGCATCATGGGGCTGTATCTGTTGTTGGAGGGAGATGTGGGGTAGCCAGGGCTGGCCACTGGGGGCGAGTTAGCATGGTAGTGGTTGGCTTCCGATGGAGAGTTCTGGTATTGGCATGGGGAGTATGGGGATGACTGCTGCTGATACTGAGGAGATGGGGGCATGCAAGGAGGGGAGTGGGGGCCATAGGAATGCTCAGGGGATGTCTGACCACTGTAGTGGTGTGGGGATCCATTGCCGTACTGGTAGACTGGACTTGGGTAGCTGACATTGTTAGAACAGCTGGAATGGGCGGGTGAAGTTTCCACATTCAACTGACCATACCCATCATTCTGAAGCATTTGGTTGTTGAAATCATTTATCTGTTGTTTAAACTGCTTTGGTGAAGGGATGGGAAAGTTGGGCACAGAGGATTGGTTATTCATCATGCAAGCCTGATGTTGCATTCCATTGTCTGAAGAGAAGTTCTGATTGGGCACTTGTTCTGGAATGCCCTGCATGCAACTTTTCTTGGGTCCCATTGGGTTCTGCTCCTGGGAAAGGTATGCTAAAATGTCATCCATGTCATCTTCTTCATACACAACATTATTGCTCTGAATGGCAGAATTTTGGACCGGCATGGTGTTGCTGACCGACATGGCTGTCTGGGAAGTTGTTACACTGGATACCATTTGTTGTTGAGCAACAGACTGGGCAATCTCCTGATGCCAGTTGATGTTGGAGGTCCTCTGATTCTGAGACCAGTGCATGTCATGTTGACCTGAAGTTGACCAGCTCTCTGTGTATGGGATGGAGAAAGACTGAGCTGGGCTGCTGTAGGTTGCCTTGGGCAAGTTGACCTCTGCAGTGGAGCTGTTGAGAGATGTAGCAGACAGGGTTGAAAGGTCACAGTTGGCAGGTTCAGCCTTGACCTTGGAGAGGTCGAACATGTTGTCGGTGACCTGGTGTCGGGAGGGGGAGGATCCTGGGGAGAAGTTGAGGGTGGGGGATGGAATGGGAGAAATGGAGGGAGATTCTGTAGCATCTGCAGCATTTGCAGAATTGTTGGTTTCTGTGGTTTCGGCTTTCTTGGGACGACCCATCTTTATAGCTAAAATAAAATAAATAGAACTGATTAATGATTCAAAATGACTTTAAAATAGAAGATCACGCTGACATTATGCACATAAATCTTAGTTCAGGCAAATCAATTCAACATTTTAAAAGCAATTTCAAAGTTTCAAAAATTGTTTGATTTTAATTTATATCAATGAAATCAATACTACACTCTTCATGGAATCTCACATTGGATTACCCTATTTATTAGAGATACACTGAATTAAAACATATTTTTTTCAAAAGACTATCTATTGCCCTACCTTCTCTGGACATGCCAACACTGATGCACTTTTGGTAACGACAGTATCGGCAATTGTTGCGATTTCGTGGGTTGATTGTGCATTTCTTCTCACTTTTGCACAGGTAACTTTGGTTTTCTACTAACCCACGGCGAAAAAATTTCTGAAAAATGATCAATTATCATAAAAATGAATTTGAAAATAAAACATTTATTCAATCTAGTGTAACAATGTTGTGGAATTAACTCCCTTTAACTAAAATTTTAAAATGAACACATTTTGAGACACATCTTAAAAGGCCATGGAACTTTTTTTTTCAAAACTAGATATGCTTTTCTTCAAAAAATGAAAATTTGCAATAATTTACATTGGCAGAAGATCTTCAAACAGCCTCATTACCTTACACCCTTCACATGTATTCACTCCAAAATGAATTCCGTTGGCTATGTCCCCACAGACTTTACACAAAACTTGGCCATCGGCTGGCTGGACTGTTTCTGGTTTTTCTAAAAACAGAGAAGTTTAATTTTTAATATTGCACATGAAAGTTCAACCATCAATTTCCGTCATTTTATATATATATCTCATGAGAGAACAATATCTAATGTCAGAATTTCTCTCCAGATAAAGACTTGCTTCAAGAAAATAACACAATGTACAAAAACTGGATAAGGTTTTAATTTACAAGAATATTCTGTGACAGATGTATATCAAACAAAGCAGCGAGTTTTGATACTACTTGTATTATTACGTCACCATAGTATTATGATGAGGTTGGATTAAACTATTGACTCAGGCAACAGTACTGTCAGAGATAAAATATCAATGAAACACACTTATCCAATAATTTTCCTAATGAAATCATTTACTGGTACAACAAAATTTTATATTAAAGACTCTAAAAATACTTTACAAAAATGATCAAATCACCTTTTCTGCACATGCCCGCCATAAGACAGCGCTGATAACGGCAATATTGGCAGCGAATTCGGCCCTGTTTGGCGATGTCGCAATTGCCATTACACTGACAGGTGAAAGTGGGCTCACCATCTTTTGTGCATCTTATGTAAAAACTCTGAAAAATAAAGAGGAAAAATTAAAATAAGAGGTCTCTGGACAATACATTTGACTTGAAATCATTATAATAATACTTATATACACCTTAGCAATTTCCTATAAATATTTAGCAATTTCCCATAAACCACTCATACATGCTTTAATTAAAAAAGTCAATTTTTTTTTGTTCCAGATGAGATTACATTTTAAAGCAGATCCAGTAATGGAGCTTTTAATTAACTTTCATTCATTCATCAATTAAAGAATATGATAATTAAAGGACCAAGAGAATCAATGAAAACTTTGAAAATACAGTACCATTTTCAATTACCAAGGATTCTCAATATATAATTCTATTAGATCATGTCTAATATGAAACAGATTACAGTGATAGCAGCCAAAGTAGGAAAATCACCCCTGCATGCTATAAATGATTATCAATGATTTCCTATAAAACACAAAGAGATGCACTGAAACAAAGAAATATATGTTGAAAGAAAGATACATTTCAGAAAGGTGCTCTTTGAATGAATGTTTTTTTTTTGGGGGGGGGGGGGTAAATCTTCAAAGTGCAATTTAAAAAAAAGAAATAAAATACTGGATAAACAATCCCTTGAAGATCTAATAATGTTGGCCATAGAGTTCTAATAATGTTGAATAATTAAAGTAGTTATTTTAAAAAAGGAGAAAATTTTACAGATCATACCAGGGATTCAAACCCTGAACTCTTTGTCAGGTTTCTCTACCAAGTGAGCTATCTGGTCACCAGCAACTGAACCTATCTGACTACCACAACCCTCCCTCTTAAAGGTCTTCACCTCTAAAGACACAAACCAATGCTCTTTGATAGATACCTTTCACCTGTCACTTCTAGAGCGAGGCATATGGCAAGGAGAAAATGTATGAAAAAGATGACCATTTTAGCACTGGACCCTTGAACTTAGACAGGTGCTTTACCAACTGAGTCATCTGGCCTGGGGGCCATAAAACTTAGACAAGCTCACTTTTGATCTCGGTCTCACTTTTACCAAAGGAACATATAGTGGAAAAGTGAGACTGAGATCAAATGTGAGCTCATCCAGGTTCTATGGCCATAAAACTTAGACGAGCTAATTTTTCATCTCAATCTCACTTTTCCACTACATAATGCTTTGTCAGAGATCAAAGTTAGTGCATGAGCTATGCACTTACACCTTTAAAGTTTACAGTTTAACTTTAATATCTCCAACATTGATATCACAAATATCATGGATATATGCAAGAGATTTGGAAGTCCCAGCCACTTGTTCTATATTAAGCATTTACCCTTGGTATCTCAAATCCTCACATGTAAATTGAAGTTAAATTTCTCTTGAGATCCCATTAAGTTTGAGACAATAAGGTTTGACTGTATCAACATTTTGTTACAATTTACGGAAGCAATGCTGTTTAGAATGTTAATAGGTCATTCATTATCAAGCAAAAAAGGGAATTTTTGAGCTGACCTCTGATTATTTAAAAATTCTCTTCAAGTACACAAACTTATTTCATTACTACCAATCTTATGGGTCAAATCCATATATAATGTGGGTCACACAACCATAGCACAAATGATAAAAGGGTGTATTCTTGGAAGGTTTTCAGACACCATATTTCCCAGAAATTAAACTAAATTGAAGATGCAATAATTAAAAATTCTCCTTACAAAACCGGTCTTTTGTGTTATTCCACAGGGACAAATAATTGACCTCGATCTGAGTATAGAGTTTATTCAGGATAACATTAGTAAACTTAGCTACAAATATATTGACCTTTTATCACATTTGTTTGAATACCAATGAAAACGGCTTTTAATAGGGTTTCTCTGAAACCCATTGCAGTGAGCTAAAAACAGCAATTTCTTGTTTGGATATCATCCATAAAAATCACATGTTCTCTAATGAGAGCAGATAGGGATTTTAAAAAAAGTTTGAAGGATAAATACAAGTACATAAATGTCTTTTTAAAGGCAAAGAAATCGGTCAAATTTAAATGGAGAAATATTAAGCATGTGAAGACATGCAGGCTACTTGTTTATTTCACAGCTATGGAGAATTTCTGTGTTGATGCAATTTTTTTTTTTGCATTCTGTTCTTTGGGTATTGATGTTTGCAGACTCACTGATGCATGGCATTAGAATCTATAGTTACCGCACTCGTAATGTGTGCAAGCCAACAAACTAATTGTCATAATGGCTATATAATCTAGTGAATACTGCAGCTTCTAAAGGAAACCCTCGTAATACAAAAAACAACATATATCGATTTTTCAAAGCAATAGCTATTTTATTTTTTTTTTTCAACTTGTTAATTGTTGGAATTGGTAAAAGACAAACATTTGCGTTTGGTACTAAAAAGTCAGAAACCGTGCAGCGAGTGAACTTGCGGTTAAACCCGATGTAAAATTGCGAAATCCCCCAAGGGGATAGAATTTCAAACATATTCCACTATTTAATCTAATAATTGCAATCTGAAAGAAACAAGTCTCCATCTAAACCCATTTAAGTAAATATTTTCGTAGACAGAGTCAACCACAAGAGAAAGATCATCTTTCAGCACAAAAAGTTTAAAATAACACTCAAAGACATCAAAACCTCATTCAATTTTAAGAAATCCCAAATTATTTCTAAAGGTTTGCTGTTTTCTAGGAACTTGATAGCGTTTCTGGTCAGACGATGTTCCTTTTTTTTAAAAATATGAATTGATTTCATGTTTTAACCAAAAATATGAAAAATACAAAAAGTTAAAAAAAAAGTAAAAAAAAATACTTTAACTTTGCAGTTTTAAAGTGTACTGGAATAAACTTTCTGATGACCACAGGTCAACCTCCTACAGAGTAGTACAGAATCTAGTTCAGAAATCAATCAATAGTTCAATTGATTTACGAGGAGACTCTTCTAGAAAATTTTTTAAATAAACTAACATATTGATACGCTAAGAATTAAGCTCTCGATTCAAGTAGCTATATAGCTCCTTAGATTCTGAGATATACAAATAGAACAAATTTGTAGGAATTGGTAGGATTATGTTATTTTGTTAATAAATACAAAGGTTATTTTGAATGTAGAATCATTTTTCAGTTGAACATAAGGAGTAAAACAACTTATTTGACATTGTACAGACCATACGAGATTCAAAATATTACATATATTTTTCAAAACACTATGAAAGGGAACATGACTAAAAGTGAAAAAAACTAACTGGACTAAGTCTACAGTTGAACTTCAGTGAAAACCTGAATATCTTGAAAACCAGGGTTAAATTTATTTAAGTGAGACAGCAATTCAAACAACTTTTTCTTGATACTTTTTAACCCTTATAATATTATCTCAAATTCTAGCTTGGATATCTCAAAGTTTATTCTTGGTTTCCTTGAGTTCAAGATAATCAGAATTGACTGTATATAAAGATTCAAATTTTAAAAATATCATTGGGGGTGGGGGTGGTTAAATGTGCATTATTTTTTCTCATTTGAAGCAGACATTGTGTATTTAAAAGGTTATACTTTAACGACTGATATCGAGGAACCATTCACAATATAATTCATAAACAATACGATATTAAATGTAAAACTTCATACTTATTCTTAATTTTCCTATTTCAAATAAAATTGTCTTGGCTAATATCACTGTGAGAGAGGCGCTCAAGAGAACTTCCTATTGAGGTACCGGTACATCCATTTGAATTTTGTCTTTTCAGAGCAGTTTTATGCCAAGTTGCAGTTGAATAATTAATTGTCATTAATGTCATTGCAGGAATACAGCTGCACTATTCAAAGGGAATATTCTGACATATTTTAAAGGTCAATGTGATTAATGGTTGGAAAAGAGCCAGGCACCCCAGCCTGGAAGTATTTATGGATTTGATAATCTTACATGTAATAAAAATATTTAAGTCAAGAGAACTCAACAAGCCATGAAGAAAAATCTCATAAAAGCTTTCAATTTTTCAAAAGAAATGAAAAGCAGGAAAAGAGAGTTTCTAGAAATAAAGTTACGCTGATCGAATATTTAAGAGCTGTTGACCTCAAGTTCATTTCAATAAAAAATAGGAAATGAGTGAATCTTGTTGTCGAATAACAAGGCAATATTGACACAGAAAAGGGACATTTTTCCATTGCCGGGGTGTCCAAAATATACCAACACATAAAAATGAAATATGCTGTAAGACTGATCCAAGATTAAATATCGCAAGAGTAAAATCAACATCTGATTAAAAAAAATCCCGCTAAAACACATAGAAACGCAGAAATCTCATTATAGTCAGGAACGCACATGTGACACAATGTTCCGCAGAGCACCGAGGGTATTTATAAGATACATTACCTTGCAGAGCAGGCAGACAAGAGCCCCAAAGTAGTAGCCACTGGCTCGGTCCCCACACAAAATCTTATTATAGTCAAGAACGCACATGCGACACAATGTTCCGCAGAAAACTGACTGTATTAGATACATTACCTTGCAGGGCAGGCAGACAAGAGCCCCAAAGTAGTAGCCACTGGCTCGCTCCCCGCAGACCACGCAGATCTTGAATTCCTTGTCCTCCTCAGGGGTACAGTCGTCCGGTCTCTCTAATTTAATATCAGTGGGAAAAGCCACATCGTCGTCTAATCTAGAGGGCAGACCATACGGACCTGTGGAAAATACAGAAAAGTCCTTAAAATGTGGTGCTTATTTGTAACACTTTCATAACATCTGTAGATAGCCCAAATTTTGTTACTCTTTATTTTTGGGAGATAGTAATATTGAATTTATGAGCGTCAGGGAGGTACAGAAAGTCTTAAAATGTGTTGCTCGTTTGTAACAGTTTCATAAATACTGTAAATCACCTTTTATTCGCGAGAACTTTATTTTCGCGTACTTACGCGAGACAGTGTGCTCGCTAAAATGTGTTTCCTTAAGATTATATAGAGCAATAACCACAATTCGTGAAAATTTTGTCTCGCTAATCAAGAGTCAATTATCATAAAAAAATTTAGTGATCTACAGTACTGTAGTCACCAAAATTTTGTTACTCATTATATTTGCGAGATAATAGTATAAAACTCAAAGTCACTGAGACCTGTGAATTTACTAGTTTTGCTATATCTGTAATTTGTTATATCCATGTAAAGAATTTGTTAAATTTATACAGGTGGAGATCCAAAATACTTCGCTATATCCATGCATTCCTAATATCCGTGTTTGTACTAAATGGGTTTTACTGTACTGAATTTATAAGTGTCAAGGAGGCATTTTTCACCCATTCTTGTCATTGTTCTTCATAATTTTTAATACACGTTATAAAGTTATATTGGATAAGGTTATTTTCTGAGCAAACTGCTTCATGTACATGTAATTAAAACGTAAAAAAACAACAACAAACATTCTCGCAAATAAAAAGTGATTTACTGTACAATAAAATATCATTATAAATTGTTAAGGACTATAAAACTATTACTTTTTGCACTTGAGAAAGAGAGCTAAAGAGCAAAATACTTAAAATGAATACATGTATATAAATAGAAGAATGTGATACATTAAAAAACTGTCCTTCACTTGTCAGTTTACAATTTATGAAGGTAACACTTATATAAAAGAATGTTTTAACACAAATACTTCCACAGTAACTACCTGTACCTCATACAAAGGATACAAAGCTACTGAAAAACCAGTGATTTTAGACGCTAGCTTACAACTGAAAAGAATGGACATCATCTTTAAAATAGCCATAACTTGACCCTGCATGACCTCTCAGATGTTTTCAGGGGTCAAAATTAAAGCAAAACAACTATAATCATCAAAATCCAATCAAGCAGTGGAAAATTAAGTATGGAGGTTACTGTCCAAGTATTCCACCTTTACTTAAAATTATTAGCATTAAGTTAGATAGGAGTCCCAAAGGAGTGATGGAGGCCCATTGCTTTTAAAGAACAAAGAGACACAAGGATACTGACCTATTTAAATCCACTGTTTTTAATAAATGCTCGTAATTATATATTATTTGTCTATACCTATAGATCTTGATAGCTTTAATTTTGTATAAATAAAAAATAAATCAAAGGAGAGGGCTAAAATAGGCTTTGCCTGCTGCCCAATCCCATTCACTTATGTGAATAAAATTTTGTATAAATCTTGATAGCTTAGTGTGAAGAGGGTACCCGACACACGCTGTGAGGGTACCTGCAGGTTCAAAACCCAGCAGTCCCCCCTTTTTTGATCTTATAATAAAATTTAATGAAATATAAGGATAACAAAAATAGTATTCTAGCTCAAAAGTCTATAGAAACAATACAAGTTCAAAGCAAAGCAAACACAGGCCTATGAAAACATCAGAGGTGGGATTAGGTGCCATGGAGGAGTGAGCTTTCCCTGTTGACCTATCACACCAAATGTGTGACCTTTATCATGATTGGGCAAAGAGAAAAAAATGTAGTGTAAAAGTAATAACCTAGCTAACATTTTCTTAAGTCATAATAAGTTTTGCACCAAGAGGTATGAGAGAGAAATTTTGTATATTAAATAAAATTTTGTTTAATTTACAATTTGAGAATTTAAAAGTCCTGACAAATTAACTTATGCTATCTGAATATAAACTGTTTGAAAACCAAGTGTCAATTATGGAGACATTATTAATGAGTTAGAAAAGTGCAATGATTTATGGCTGAAAAATGTAGAAAAAGTGCATTTTTGAGAAACTTTCACAATGTACATTACACTGTTGTTAAAGTGCTCTGTGGCGACAAAGCATTCATTTTAATATTGAATAACTTGAGTTCAATTTTAAGCAAATTGATCGAAATTCAAACATCAATAAAATGAAAGGAAATATTACATAATTATGAAAAATATGAAAATCTAATTCATGGAAAATGATATGCTGAAGTTGTCTGCAAGTGTGCCCATATTTTTAATGGCCCTTGTAAATCAAATCAAACTTTAATAGTCATCTATAATTTTTAAAATGGAATGTTTAGAACTTCAGATCAAATATAAATTGCCTAAATTTAATTGAATTCAATGCATTCATATGCCATAGTAAAATGACATTTTAAATGATTTTAGTCCTCTATCAAAGAGGTCCTCTGGCACGTGACATTGCATGCATGCACAAAAATATAATCAGCTTTAAAATTTGACACTTCCACACTCATTGTATACATTTGTGTAATTTTGATCGACTTAAAAAAAAAAACAACAACTAGTTGGGTAGACATAAACTCATTACTGCATTTAGTCCTTTTAAATTTTTTTTCAAAATTTAATTCGCTTGTTTGTGACAATGTTTACTCCTACACCAACTTACTTAATAGGTATTTGAAGGTTGGTATAATTTCCTCTGACTCATTATTTATTTTTGGTTTATGCAAATCTATTTTGTAAATACGGAATAAAATAAAAAAAAAATTAAAATGAAGTTTGTTGTCTCCCCCTTCTTTATAATTCATATTCTAGATAAATATTTATCATATATTTTTATGCTATTTCTATTTTAAAATTGAGCAGTAGAACATAATAAATACATTGCGAACATGTTTTTGAACTCCAAAACTGGAATTTCCAGCTTGTATTGAAATGTAAGCGTTAGTTTTCATGATAAGAATCGCCTATCCTGCCTCAAAATAGAAACTTCCAATGACAACATACGGGGAATATTGTATAGGGTTGTACCTCTGCTAGACACACAAATTAAAACCCTACAGTCTCAACATGAATACAAACCCTAAGCATTACACCCTTAACATGATATTCTATACTAAACTTCAATTTACTTTGACCCTGCCATTTAATCAAATACGGAAAATCCTATCACCCGAGCATTAATCAATAAAATTCATGAAACTATTGATACTTTATCTAGCAGTTGTGTGAGAGAGTTTTACGCTCGCTGTTCCACCATATTGATTCATATCTTATCTATTGCTAATAAATTTAATTATTTTAATGGTTACCTGCGAATTTTTTTTTCTACTTTTAAAAACCTGAGCAAACTTGCCACCAAAATAATCTATTAAAACCTGAAGTTTATTCCATTTTCAATAAATTGTCATTACCCATCCCAACACTTACACATATATTAAATCATAATTCAAAAACATATTTCATAACAAATTAAAATTTACTTCGTTTAAATATTTCCACTTTCACATCTTTGCTTTATTTGATCTCTCCTCTGACTTCATCTGTTAAAAAATTGTTTTATTTATCAAATTTTCTGTGTAACAGAGGGAAAAATTTATGGCCGGACCAGAAATTGAACCAAGGACCCCTACATTACAAGTCTAACCACTGAGTTACCCTGACTGATATCCAATGTTCATGAACCAAAACCACTACATTCCTCCCTCTTTAAATCACACAACCCAGATTCCTTGACCCCTTGCAACTCAGCTGGACTTTCACTTGCGAGGGGCATTCAATGGTACCAATTGTTGACAAGAAAGCCCTGGAATCAAACTCCATACCCTTTATCAGGCATTTTAACCACTGCACCATCCAAACCACTAACCATCTGCAATTGATCTCTACATTTTGAAATTGAAATTCGAATAAGAATTTATTGCTTCAGTCCATGTGTCCTTAACCAAATAACCATGGTTCAATTTGAGGCCACAGCCTTATCATCTGGAAACTAGCAATTTCTTTTCAAGTACTTGTATATATTATGCTTTATAGCATCAAATATATATGACAAGTGGTCAAGAAGTTCAAAGTTCATCTGCACTCAAAATGGTATGGCAAGAAAGCAAGCATCAGTGCTTTCTGCATTTATTTCTATATTTTGCAAATTAAGACAGAATCTCAGGTGATTACTCAAATTAATCACACAGAAGGGACAAGAAATAACTTTCCACAACTTCAGAAACTTTGGATTTTTTTTCCACATCAAAAGTATATTATATGATGCTTAACAATATATCATTGCATTGAGTTAGACATATAAATTTCATATAAAATGGTCAAAATATTTCAAAGAGCACTTTAAACTTTCCATTTTAATTCCAATTCATGCTCAAACAGAGGCATTGGGTTATTATCTACAGTGAAACCTGCTTGTCTGATACAATATTCAATTCAAGTCCTTTTTAGTAATCTTCAATTGTTATATGTTGTCTAATCCAGTTAATATCTTGGAACCAATAGTGGCTAAAATAAGACAAGTTTTACTATATACAGTAAAACTTGTTATAACAATTCACTCCTGTGACCTATAAATTACTTTTGCTATATTTGTAATTCGTTATATCCATATCAGGAATTTGTTAAATTATACAGCTGGGAATCCAAGATAACTTCTCTATAACTGTGAATTTGCAATATCAGTGTTTGTGCTAAACAAGTTTTACTGTTCACATAATAATTTCAAATATAAATTTTCTTCATATGTTACATGAAATTAAATCTCAACATTTCATTGCCAATGACCAATTAATCAAGGACATATTCGACATAACTAAGCTTCAGCTCAAAGACAATAATAATGTTGTCAAGATCTGATGTGATTTATATATACATGTATAACTTTTTCCAAGATTTTGTGGTTGAAATATTTTGCTTCATGAAAAAATGGGGTAAATTACTAGGCATTTCTGGAAGCTAGATTCCAGAGAAAAGTATTGATTGTATAGAAAGAAATCACAATCTTTGAAAACAC